TCCAATTAAGCGGATCCCCGAACGCTTGGTACCAACCACCAGTCCTCCCCCGTGAAGGATTCATATATTCTCCGACACAACCCTGCACGTATATCGATAGCAGACCTTAACTATAAGCTTATATACTTCATTTTACCTCCCTTTGCCCGGGAAGGGCGGCGGGGAGTAATATATATTCCCTGATGCCGGAAGGATCGGACCTCCGCATGTAAACTCCAGGTGCAAAAGTACTGACGACAGCGTGGAAAGTTCCATCCACTTAATCTATTTGAAGGAAATATCGGAATAGCTTCCCAGGCGCTTCGGTTTGTTTCAACGAGAGTACCTGAAGCTGGGCGGTCCGAATAAGTGTATATAAATCGCGCTGTTTTGCTGAACATCTGCTTTCTCCTCATCCAACAAACTAGTTCTCTGTCAATCCTTTCGGTCATGAAGTTCTCTACCTCCGTCCTGGCTATCGCCACCGCCCTGATTGGCTCTGCCCAGGCGCACTGTTAGTCCATCCCATATTCCCAGTACAGACTCATTAACTTACGATGTATATTACAGACCGCTTCACCAGCCTCATCGCCGACGGCACCACAACCACCGCCTACCAATACGTCCGCCAAAACACCAACTACAACTCCCCCGTCTTCACAGGCTCTACCGACCTCCGCTGTAATACCGGCGCCGACAGCGGCGCCTCCACCAGCACCTACACCGTGGCCGCGGGCTCCACCATCGGCTTCAAGATGGACCAACCCATCTACCACGCCGGCCCCGTCCTCGTGTACATCTCCAAAGCGCCCAGCACCGCCGCCGCCTACGACGGCTCCGGGTCATGGGCCAAGATCTACCAGATTGCACCTACATTTAGCGGCGGAAACGTCGACTGGGGCACGGTGTCGGACACGTTCACGTTCAAGCTGCCAAGCTCGCTGGCAGCAGGTGAGTACTTGGTCAGGATTGAGCAGATTGCGTTGCACAGTATGCCGGCGCAGTTCTATATCTCGTGTGCGCAGCTCAAGGTGACGGGTGGGGGGTCGGCGGTGCCGAGCGGGATCTCGTTCCCGAGTGGGTATTCGGCGACGGATCCGGGGATTGCGTTGAACATCTATTATCCGCCGATGACGAGTTATGCTATGCCGGGCCCTGCTGTGAGTCTCCTGTTAGTGTATGTGGGTCGATGGTTGCTAATTGTGGTATGCAGGTTTGGTCTGGTTAGGTCTCTCGATACTCGGGCTGAGGTTGAGGTGGGGGTTGAGGTGGAAGGTGGAAGGTGGAGCGGAGAGGTGGGTGCGAATGTATGCTAAAGGAAAACGAAGGATATATCGATAGCTCGTAATTCTCTATGGCAATCATCCTCTCGATCATGCAAACCTAGTATATAGTTAGATGCGATCGAATTGTATCACCCGAGTCTTGAAGTTACTCTACGATCATCTCCTCTTGATCAGTAAGGACGCCAGTTTGCCCCTCATGTCCTGTCGATGGATTCCTGTTTTAGAGGAGAGTTATATGTAGGTGATATGCGGTCTCGTTCCCATCCCAAACGGCAGCCCGTATACAGCGCTCTGTGGGCGATGTGTAGTCAAAATGTACAGGCCGCTTACTAGCTCGGTGATGGAGACCTACCATCGTTGAGCCGGACGTATAACCCCACTCCATCCACACTCATCCATCTCTTTAACTCATCCATCTCTTCAACTCATTCACCCCTTCATCAAGCTATAATATTCTCTCCGCGACCCAGCACCCACACGCCCCCGCACCCAGCTCTATTGACGGTAATGATGCCCCGTCTGTCTACATGAGAAAGGGAAGAATCCCCTCGGGCTCCTAACCCAGACTAGGAGAGGCTGGCTACGTGTAACTAGTATGAATGTCGAAGGATCTCCAAGAGCTTGAGATGCTAAGCCCTCATTAAGGTCAGAGATGAACCCCATCGCTATATTTGCTGATCATGCGGACTACACTGATATACCAAAGCCGGGCCGGAACCACCGAAGAGCGGAACTACGAGAAATAATTTTAATCACATAGCAATGGGGCGACAAGTTAGAAATTCAAAGGCTTTTGATTGGAGGAATCTAGTCAAAGAGCTCGGTACATCAATCATAGAGAATCGCTCGGCAGCCACAAATATGGCAAGATACAAGTGAGAACAGTCTCGTTTCTGGAGGGAATCCGATAGAGGCATACACAGAATTACCAATCCCAGATAAGGATGCATATGCGCCCCGGGGTCCTCGCAAAGTGAGAACACTCTCCAAAAAACAACCCCTGGAGTTTGATTGCTGATAGTGACCAGAGTGTGCATCGGACTTGAGAATTAACCCAACCGTGTAATATTCACAAACGCCAACTCTATGAAGATGAACAGACTTCGCCTTTTAGACGCAGAGATCTCTTAACCACATACGCTGTTATGATACGAGGAAATGATTGAGGGGCATTACTGGCGCGAGTGATCTCTTATGATCTAAAATTTATTTCCGTGAAGTGGTCACCCCTAGATATTCAGCAAAATACCACCCTTTTAGAGTCGGCTTAATAAGTATTTGGCTTTCTTTTACCCAACACCCTAGGTTTCCACAAGGGTCTTGTTCATCATCCTGCACACGGGGGTTGCCATGCTTGGGCGACTGTGGGAACACTTCTAGCTGTGGCGAGAAGGACCGCGAGCTAGACCTTCTCCAGACCTAGACCTCGTAATAGATGAGATGGAATCTAACGAGCATCATGTGGACATGCATGGAAATAGTCTCACAAGGGAAGGGAGCCGAAAACCAAGAAAATAAAAGACGAGCCGCTGGGGAATAGAACGTCTTGTACCTTCCTATGTAAACTATTTCTTCTAGTTTGATATGGACCGTAAGCATAGAGTGTAGGCTTATGGGGCTTGAGCCTTTGAAATAGACCCGCTAAATGACCCGAGGCGGTGGTCAATGATCAGAACTATAGGATAGCTTTCTGTAAGTTATTATGAATAAATGGTCATGGGTAAGCGACAGCTGGTTTCAATGAGAGCCATAGATAGGATGTTACAAGGGACATGTGATTTCTGATAGCCCGGATTGCTCCTCTCTACCGTCACCGGAGCGTGTTATCCTTTACTCGGAGGTAGGTAGCTTTTGCTCGAGACCACACTAAGATTCTGATTCTGAGTCTGGCTACTGGAATCTCACTCTTACCACCTGCGCAAGCGTCGTTCAAAAATTCAATGTAGCTGTGGGAGTTAAGGTTGTGTCTCGGTATCGGTATACCTGCCAAAGGCGGCCATAACATGGCAGATTGTAGCGATACCGTGACTGGGGTGCAGAATATCAAATGATATGTCTCTGCACACGCTCTAGAACGCATATAACGGGGGGAGCCTAGTGGTTTTGGGTAACACCTGATCGTTGGGTGATCTCCTACTGTGGCAGCGGACGGCGTCTCATATCATTCGATATCACAGCACACCATTACGGCGACTTTCTAGACTGCGGTAGTATGGTGCACGAGGACAGGTGCCCTTACGTCCTTATCTCGAGTATATGGCCTTGAGGAATAGTGAGCACCTTGATGTCGAGCTCTTGATTTTGCCTCGACCCAAGGCAAGGGCAATGGTTAACGAGGCACATCGAGTTCAAACTACTAATGAACCTAAGAAGCAAGATGGTTAGCAAAGATGAGCAATTTGAGGACACCTTGAGATCATCTGGTCTTGCGTGTCCTCGTAAACCACGCTGTTCTAGAGTTAAAACCGTTAAACACAGCCATAAAAGTGTCCATGATGGCAAAATCTGACAATGCTGATTCTCAAGGTGAAGAATACGCGTACCGTTATGTATATAACTGACACAGTGCTTTCAGATGCAAGACATTAGCAAGCAACCAGCACGTCCCCACGTCAGCCATCCAACCGGACTACTGTCTCTCTTTTCAACCCCACCTTAGCAATTGTCTCCGGTTTAAGCAGTCAACAGCAAGCTGGTAACATTCTTGCGGGGAAGCGACGACGTTAGGGTTGCATCCCGATCATCGTCTGACATCCCCACGATTGACGGGTTGGCTGATTTGTTCGTTACGTCGTACATGTTGCAATCTGACTGATGTGACATTCCCGCCGTCACAGCTAGGGACAACCTGGAACTCAATCTAAAGCTTGTATTGTGACACAAAGAGGAATCGACTGGGAGGGCTCGGAAACTTAAACCGGGAGCTGGAGGGCCCATGCTTCATAAGTACACATCCGACTCGGAGTTGCGCATTGGATGGGCGGGCTGTGTGTGCCTGGGGGGCCTGGGCCTGGGCCTTGATACCAGTGATGGTCCATGTATACGTAGACTCCGAGTAGCGTATGTGTATTTGTACTATGCCGGAGCCCCCGAGTCGACTGGGAGCGAGCGAGTCGTATTCGCCATGCACAGTAAGGTACATGTACACATGTACATATTCTACATACACGTATGAATATGTAACCTTAATAACCGTAAGCGTGCGTAAATTTAGAGTACCTACATATACCTTCCCGTGCTACTAAAGAAATAAAGTACATATACATGGCGCAGGTACATTAAGGAAGAAGTGTAGAGGAACAATGCGGTAATTTCTAATGGTGTTGATTGTCAGCTTACGCGCGACTATAGCTATCGGATTATTGCCTTGACAAATCCATTCATTAGAGGCGTGGGGTCGAAATTACTGGCTTCGGTTAACCTAAAAATCAGTCAAAGCCCCGGCGTCAATAGAGATTAAATTGTTTTCGTCTCAATTCTGGAGTATAGTGTGTTTGTAGATCAAATATATATATATAATATCACCAAATATGATATACCAGCACCACTGCTCTAAACAATCCAATCCGAATTCGGACGCGTGCTACAAGCGCACCCAAATGCACCAATCACACGCCTTGAGCTGCTATTAATTGTGTAGTCCCACCACATCAGTAGAGCAAGGGGAGACAACCAGCGCAGCACCAACAGCTACCGTAAGAGCTAGAGTTGAAAGAGATCGAGACTGCCCCTTTGATGATGTTGAATCGCAGGTTATCGCCTGGTGGCCGAATACGCGTCTCTGAGTTTTCTCCCATCACCTGCCCGCCTGTATGCGTATGTGCCTCCCCCTTCATCAGTGTGTGGAATCATGAGCACGAGTTAATGAACTTAAACATCGAACTAGAGTCCGACTAATTCACCATTATCAACCCAGCGCTTGGTCGTGTGGCCTCCTACCAAGCTGTCCCCGCTACAAGCCCGGGTAGCCGTTAATTTCCAATCTGTGCTGTACCTACAGAATCGCGTGTCTGCAGTTCGTCTACCCCCCTACGACATACCGTGGTTTGGATGTGCATGTGGCTATGCGGCCCAGCAACCATCGTCTCCTCAAGGCCTCGAGGCTTCTCCCTCAACCCAATATCCCAGCGATATGCACCCAGAGCTAGGGTTCAAGCGAATACGACACCCCACGCTAATCAAGTAGGTAGAGTACTATACATGTACATGTAGGTACATGGTGGGTGAAAAGGGGTAAGCATCCCTTGAACACCTTACTTAACCAACAAACGCTCGCATCCTCCTCCAATCGGTGGGCAATCAGCCTCACGCTTAACCATCCCTGGCCTGTGCTCCCTTCTTCTCTTGGTCCGTGCTGCATGGCTTCTACACTCTCGGACTTCGGGGAAACAACCAACATGGCTGGGCGGATGAATGAAAAAAAAAAAAAAAGGAAAGAAAGAAAACTGCGCCTAACGTGATCACAACCAGCCATATGCTACGAGGAGGGCTAGCTTATTCTCACCGGAGGAGGAAGAACAGAGGAAGAGGGAACTTCCGGCTTGGAGGGGGCCGGGGGGGGCATGGCGTGAGAGGTACATGGTGAGAACTTATAAATCGATCTCTCCCTCCTCCTCCCTCTGTCTCTCCGTTTTTGATTTGACAGTGCTCACACCACACGCAATCATGAAGATCAAGACCTCGACCATTGCCGCTGCCGTCCTCTCCGCCCTCGCCCTTGTCGAGGCGGGCAAAAGCCCCTCAAAGCGCGACATTGAGGCCTTCGCAAAGGAGCTTGGTATGTCCGACGCCCAGATCAAGAGCCTGGACGACAAGTCATTGATATCAATCAACCTCGCCAACTCCAGCGTAAAGGATCAGCTCGCCTGCCGTTTCCTCGATATCATCTTCCCCGATGCCACCGCCATCCCCAGCGAGGCGGTAACATACACATCAAAGATATCCATCAACTGGTCGGTGAGGGCATGGCTCAAGTCGTCATGCGTGTTCTCGCCGAGCACCACAGAAATGACCTCTGTGGGCATGAAGGTGGTCAACTTCCTTGGAAACAAGTTCGCGATCCGCAGTGGTGGACACACGCCGGATCCGGAGATGGCGAGCATTGACGATGGCATCCTGTTTTCGCTCGAGAACCTAAACATGGTACAGATGGATGAAAGCCTAAGCATTGCGAGCATCGGGCCCGGAAACAGGTGGGGAGATGTGTATGACAAGCTTGCTCCAAAAGGTTACTTGGTTGTTGGCGGGCGTGTTCCGCCGGTTGGCGCAGGCGGTCTTACTACCGGAGGTGCGCATTCATCACCGCTGCCTTATATCGAGTAATTGGATACTGACAGCACCCCGCAGGCGGTCTCTCCTTCTTTTCGGGCACCCACGGTTTCGCCTGTGACAATGTTCTCAACTATGAAGTCGTCCTCGGTAACGGCACCATCACCAACGCCAACGCCCATACCAACTCCGATCTGTGGTGGGCCCTCAAAGGTGGTAGCAACAACTTCGGCCTCGTAACTCGCTTTGACCTGAACGCCATCCCCAAGAAGGATGGCATCATCTGGGGTGGAAACATTTACTTCTCACCTCTCCAGTCCGAGGCTGTCATCAAGGCCCTCACCAACTTCCAGGAGACCGGACAAGTCGCCGACCCCAAGGCCGCACTCATCGGCAACTGGATCCGTGCCCCCGCAACATCTCTTACTGAGCTTACAGATATCCTCCGCATCACGGTGTTCCACCAGGACCCCACCAATGGCATTCCCGCATCCCTCCAGCCATTCTTTGATCTGAACCCGTTCCTCAGTACCGCCATGAACCGCACGCTGCTTTCTCTCGCGGAAGATACGTACGGTCCTGCCGGGATCGTACCTCCAGCAAGACAGCTGTTCAGGACGCTGACGGTTGGCGCGAATGAGGAGCTGCTGAATTATGCATATGCGAAGTTCAACACTTCTTACTCAATCTTATTCCCTTCGCTTGCGTCTGTTGCTGTGCTCACACACCAGCCTGTGTCGGAGGCAATGGCAACTCATGGCGCGAGGCCGATGAACGTACCAAAGACAGCCCAGACGTGGTTGATTGTCAACATTCAATGGTCCCTGGAGATAAGTGATAAAAGGATATTGGAGATTGCGGAGAACTTCCTGGATGACGTCAAAGCAAAGTCGGTGGAGATGGGGCTAGGCGAAGACTTTCTGTACCTCAACGATGCTGCGAGAGACCAGAAGGTGTTGGAGGGATATGGGACAGCGAATGTGGCAGAGATGAAGACCATTTCTGCCAAGTATGATCCGGCACAGGTGTTCCAGAAGCAGGTGACGGGGGGTTTCAAACTGATCAATGTGTAATTTTTAATATTGTAATTATTTAGAGCGGCAGTCATGCAGTTGTGGATGGCGAGATATATGCTCGATGATCTTGTAGTAAAATCACATAGATTAATGCTTATTGCTTATGCGACGATTTGTTGTATGTTGAGATTTAATTCCGGGTGTTGGGTCTTCCATTATGATATTGGCCGGTGATTTGTGATGTAGAGTCGATATGCCGGGCATTTACCTTGTCTTGGAGCTGAGGATATTCTCGGTTGTGATGGGGAAATGTAGTGTTCCTGCATGGATTATCACTCGTCCAGCTTTAGCGCTTTTTTTGGGGGGGGGGGGGGGGGGGGGTGACTTAGTGCAACAGTACCATCTATACGAGTTTCTTCCTCAGAGTATCTATTGAAGGGTATCAGTCATCTATAAATGAGGTGTGTGTAGGTAAATACGTGTATACACAGCGATAGACCATAATAATGCTCGAATCCACTCCCGACAGCCTCCCTACTATACTTGAGATAGCTGTTACACATCTTTGTCTCATATCATAGTACTGGCCTAGAAGCTCCTTATCCATATCTATAACTACTCTTCAAACACATCCATACTCCACGAGCAGTCGGCTCTAGAATCTCACCACCAGCGCCGGCAGCACGCAAGCTATTGCTGATCTTCGAGTCAATGTAGGATAAACCTAAGCTCGCGGTGGATAGGACCGCCAATTGGACCGTTGGATGGCGTTTGCATATTTTCCGGTCGTTTTTGCAGCTTTTGTTTTGCGCGGGATCGCCCCCGGGGGGGGGGGGGGGGGGGTTATTGTTGATGTGAGTGGCAGGGATGGAGTTATGGGGCGTCACTCATACAGGTCCCTCTAAGTCTTTTGGGGGGGGGGGGGGGGGGGGGTTGTTGGTTGTGTGTTGTGGCTTGTGAAGGGTCGAACTATCGCAGAGACAGTGATAACATTCCGTGAGTAGGGCTTGTACTGCTCGTTGAAACTTGGACCAATAAAACCGCCCCCTTTATATCAGTTATCCCTAAAACCGTCAGGCCGAATTGAAAAGGCAGCTGTTAACCACATTCAGTAAACATGATGGATTGAACGCTGGTTTCAGTCATACTCTCACACCACCTGCTTATCAAATAAATGGCAGATCGTACTAGATAGCTTCACTCGTAGCGTTCAATCCATCATGTTTACTGAATGTGGTTAACAGCTGCCTTTTCAATTCGGCCTGACGGCTTATCCCTTACTCTTTCGTCGGGGGTGGAGTCGCGCTGGGTGTGCGGGGGTGGCCAGGTCCTACCCAGGACTGAACTTTTGAGCACTCGACCCACTGTGAGGTATCTAATCTTTAGAGTACTCAAAAGTTCAGTCCTGGGTAGGACCTGGCCCGCCCGCACACCCAGCGCGACTCCACCCCCGACGAAAGAGTAGACCCTCAAGCCTGATGTAAATAGGGATCACTAACCGCATAAAGCAGGTATGATACAAGCGGGAACCCATAAGTGAGTGGACAATCTCGTGACAGGTGCAACCATCGCCGAAAACAACCCCACCTCAACGTCCACGCAAATATGCCAAAAGACAGCAACGGAAAAAGGAGGGAGACCACAGATGTAGAGCGGGTTGAGGTACTTAAATTGTATGCTGAAGGATGTACCTATCGCAAAATCCAAGCCCAGACCGGCGTTTCAAAGTCCGATGTGTCCAAAATCATTAAGCGATATAAAGAGACTGGGTCCTTAAACAAAGTCCCTAGACCCGGCAGACCACGAATAATCGATGAACGAGCTATGCGACGCTTAGACCGGATTACAAACAATAATCCCTATGCAACACTTGCAGAAATTACTGCAGATTCTCGTCTAAACTGCGCTCCCAAAACGGTCGCAAGAGCGCTACACGTACTTGACTACCACCTCCGGGTTTATAACGTGGGTCTATGGACGATGGACTATAGTGCCAAGGAGTACAACCGAGGCAAGAACGTAGTAGAAGATATTCGTAACTATGGACTATGAGGTGGTTCAATCCTGATCCGAGATACAAGATGAGCCCTATGACGTAGCGTAGAACAAAAGTAATATTCGTGGAATAAATACAGAGGTTGCGTAAAGAAAGAAGGAAAGAGAGAAAACAAACAAAAGCACAAAACAACGCCCCCTTATATATCCAACCATAGTCCGATGATGACTAATACTTCCACGTAACAGAAACTAAAAGAACATAACAGAAATCCCCATTACAAATCCTAATCCCACTACACAATACCTCCTCTTCTCGTTCCAATTTATCACTTAGCCGAAATACATAGTTGCCGTTACAGGGTTCCACGAAAAAAACCGTTCCTCAGCAGAGAGACAAAACGTAAACGGCTTCTCTGGGCTAGAGAGCGTCGACACTGGACAAGGGCAGATTGGAGAATGAGGTTCTTTGCAGATGAATGTAAGGTGGAGGCTGGTGTAGGAGGGTCACAATTCAAAGTACGGCGGAAACCGGGGACAGAGCTAGAAAATCGATACTTGCAGCCATCTTTTCCAGGTGAATGGACTTCAGCCATGTTCTGGGGAGCTATCGAGTATCAGAGGCGGTCCCCTCTTATCTATGTACGGAAGAGGAGGCCATATGAGTATATCAAAAGAAATGATAGGGGTGGCATGAATTCAGTACAGTATTGTGATGAGGTATTGGCAACGGGTTTTCTACCTATGTATAGAGAGGCAGGAGGCGCCCAGAATGGCTATTCTTTAGTTGAGGACGCATCCAGAGTACACACTTCTGGTCATAGTAGGGCCTGGAAATTGCAGGCCGGCATTGTTGTAGGGGACTGGGTTAGCTATAGCCCTGACCTCAACCCCATTGAGAATGTTTGGAGATCACTCAAAAGGAAACTCAGGTTGCGCATGAGGGACATTCAGAGGCGCCCCCATAACCAGACTGAATTGATTAAGGCTGCACAGGAGGAGTGGGACGCATTAGATCAAAAGATGATAGATAGATTGATTGATTCTATGCCCTTGCGCATAGTGAGGGTTATAAGAGCACATGGGGGCCATACTAGATGGTAAATGTATTTAGACTAACTATATTTTCTTTTCTACATTTCAATTTATTTATTCTACAGCTCACTGTGGGTTGATTCACCCTCAAAGGTTGCCTCGAGGTCATCAGTGAAGAGCGCCGAGCCTTTTGTCCACTCACTTTTGGGTTCCCGCTTGTATGTTGAACGCCTTATTATCACGGTGAGATGATTAAATATGATTATCAGATGGTGGGAAGCGGTACTAAACACCTACAGTCATAGAGTTCATAACATCATACCTACTTTATATATTCGTCTAGTGATCCCCATTTAACTACATCGAGCCTGACGGTCTAAGGGATACACACTGTGTCCCTTACACGGTCAGTCCGTATTTGCAGATGTTCTGTGTTGGACGCCGTTCATGTTTATCACCGCATTAAGGCTGTGAACGTCTCTGGCGTGTGATAAGATACCGAATGCTAGAATAAACATGCATTGAGTTCAGCACAGCACAGATGCACAGATACGGTTAGTTTTATAGTTCAATTCTCACTGATCGTGTAAGGGAATATAAGGCCTTTTATCACATGCATGGCAGTCAATGACCTAGGAATTGAGCTGGAAGGCTATCAATTAATCGAGAAAGAGTTATATAATTATTTGGACTATTTATTTGTTAGATACTTACTACTCTAGAGAGAAATAGTACTGATTTGCCTGATCTCATTCGCCATGCAAAGGATCAGCCTCACGACACAATGGTCTAGCTGGGGTCTTGGCACATGCACACCAGTACTGCGCACAATGCGCACAATGCATATCTATTCTAATCTGCCGAATAGCATGTTAGCTCTTTAGTCGAGTTCCGCAGGATCTCAGGAATAACGAATCGGACTAGGCTGGAATATGTACCACTTACCCGTTAGTCAAGACGACCAAAAGTTACGCTTTGGGTCTGTCGGATTGAGGCTCAACACGCATTTGACCAATCTAAAGCCCAGTATTCCTAGTCCAGTTCGATTCGTTATTCCTAAGATTTTGCGGTAGGGAACTCCAAGACGACAAATTTCCATAGGATATGAAAGCAAATATTATGGAGGAAGAGTTACTCTATATATATCTCTATCCTTGCCTAACTGTGAGGATAAGAAATCCCATCTTCTGGCTTGTGTGTGTAGGTATGGATGTAATAAGTGATAGAACGCCCTGAGATACAGTTATACATAGGGATACTGCATGTCCATTGGCTTGCAGTGTACCAAATCGCAGTTGGGCACATCATGCCTTGAGGGGAAACCAAGACATATACTCTGAATGATACCTCGTCACTTTGAACATACAGCGCAGAGCAAACCCTCACCATATCCAAGCCCAGTATATACAAACTATTGCCATCTTTTGTGAAGCTTATCAACCAGAAGTTTTCGATAGGTATCACAATAATCTACCTAGTTACCTGCGTCACCTGGCCTCATAACAGTGCACTGACTCTCTTAGAATAACACACCAGATATACACATACGTCTTCGATCGGTAGAAAACTGGACCTGCGCCAGTTGTTGTTCATTTAGTTGGAAATATTGAATGACGATGGACCAAGAAATTATTGCGGGAACTACGAGTGAGGAGTGTAGGATGTATAAAGATTATATGGATTTGGGAGAGCGATATCCGTCTTACGTGGCCGGGAAAGAAACACTTCAAAACAGACCATATCATAATTTTTGAGCAAGGTAGGTTTCAATAGCCATATGTATACCTACATGTATTCCAACTATTGTAGCTAACCATATCGTAGCCAGATATGTACACGCTCCCGGCCGCGGCTTGAGCGAATTGCGGAAGATAGCCAAGTCATCTCAGCCTTCAACGATTTATATTAGCTATTCTTGGCATTATATCATTAATGATCTCCGGTGCTAGCGCGGAAAGTGGAGAAGAGTTTACGAATAATCTCTTCAGTGATCTTGCACCTATCCTCTCGCTCTTTGGCGAGCAGGTTGCGAAGCAATTTCTCAGTGAATCTACTGGCTGGGCAGACAACATCCTTTTCACAATGGCCCCTTTAGGTATTATTACTGCCATTGTGAGTGCGATTAGGGTTGCGGGCTTTCCCTGGTTAAAGGCAGTCATTGGGCGAGGCAAGGAAGGCCAAGGACAAGTTGAGCTAGAATTGATGTCCTCGAACTCAAGGGACGTCGGGGAGATCAAGCAGTTGTGCGAGTTGTTGGTGAACCAACGGTTTTTCAGTTCATTTATAAGTCAGGTGCTGCTGCAGATGACCCACAATCGAGGGGGATCTACACCTTGGAGAAAGGAAACCCCTTATTTAAGCTTGTTCACAAAACAAATATACCCGGCTCTCACGACGAATTGCAGCCGCTCTCTAATAACGGCAGTACTTCCGTATCGGGTCCCAACGCATTGCTGTCTCCTGATCATTACTGGGACGAGTATTACGGTGACGAAGACCATTCCCGAAACCAATCTCACCCGAACGAGTCTCTTCCATTACAAGATATCCAAATCCCACCGAATATTTCACTCAATGCCAGGGGAATACCGGTGTCAGATAAGGAGAAATGGATCTACGCAAGCCTCGGTATCTTAGTCCAATTAGTAGTTCTAGTCTACGAGGCAGCGATCACATACTATCCGCCGTTGAACTCCAAGCCCAGATTTCTCAAGGATGGAGAAAGCGCCTCCCGCGAGGCCTTCCCTTGCACGGCCGTTGGAACCATTGCGCTCAACCTAGGAATGTTGATATGTGCACATATTATTGATCGTTCATCAATCGAGGGGCATTGGAAAATTAAGGATGATAAGGATGATAAGAACTGTAAGATAGCATGGATCCAGAAAGGAGGAACGGTGAATGATCAGGTTTTTGAACCATATATCATTCATGGGCACGAGGGACAAAAACAAATCATCACCTCACGTCGCTACGATATTAAACCTCCAATGTCTTTGCAGTACCTCGTTCTAGCAGCTACAACAATTAGCGTTATTGGATTCTTCTTCCAATTTCTTGGCCTGCGCGGTATGACTTGGTCAGCAAGTATTGCACAGCTGGCAGCCACCTTAGTAATGACGTTTATTCGGTCGGTAATCCGTAGGCGATTAACAACGGAGCCTAAGGCGGAACCGGTAATTAAGGAGTTTGAAGTTGAATGTATGGGGCGTTATATGGTGGGGTTCTCGGACTGGAGTATCGTTCCAAGGTTTCTACGGGATGGTAGATATACCAGAGGATGGCCCTGAACTACCGGAGGACGGCCCTGCACTGGAGGTTGGCCTTGCTCAAGATCATCCGCCGAAACCCGCTTCGAAGCCTCATAAGATGTTACAGATATGTGTGCGACTATCAGTACTCTCCCGTTGGCAAATCCAAGGCGCTAGTATTTCCCACTCTCTATGCGACTCTATCGAGAGGTCAATAAATTTCGTTTTTGATCCCGCGAATGAATGCACCCTTACGCCTAATGCAGCGAAACTGCTAGAATTCTCATGGAGGGTGATGACTTGTGCGGTTGTAAAAGGAAAAAAAAACATTACGAAAATTTGACTTTTAAGCTCCAAAGAGAGGATGAGTTTGATAAATGGAGGATGGGAGATGGTACAAAGGCCGAGATCATGCATGCCCTGTCCCTGTGGATGCTGCATGATAAAGAGAAACAAGATATCTTCCTCCATCGACGACGAGCTTTAAGCAATGTCAATTCAGAGGAAGTCGAGGCGGATAATGCAAACCGAAGCGATCGTATTGTCAAAGTTATATGCGCATTCAGTCAGGTTGGCCATGAATGGGTAAACCTTTGGATAGGTCAAACTGGGATAGAATTCCTTGTCGGGTGCCCCAGAACTATATTAAAAACAGAAGGAATACCTCCTCATCGACTCTTTGGGTATTCACATGCATCCAGATGTGATGAGAAATCGATAGTCGCTGTACTCTCTAAGAGATCTATCGGACAAAATTTGGCGATGGAAATCTTTTCTCATTTTTTCTCCAGTGTGGTGCAGTTGATTGATCAAATTGGCGGGACAACGAAAGAGAATCCACATCAATCGAGAATGCAACATGTAGAGAATTCAATGATATCTTCTCTTCTTAATGACTTACACCTTACGGGTCTAGGGACAAGACTAGAATTTCTTTTAGGTAGGTTTATTTGGTGGCGCCATGGCGATGGTACCTAAAATCGGGGTATGAAGTGAATTTATGGAGTACTTGAGCTAATAGTAAGCACAGTTGTCATTCCGCACTTAGAATGCAATAATCTTCTTCGGGGATCTCACAAGGATCTCGGATTGACAACCCAGCTCGCAGCCATTGACTTTCGTCGTAAATTCCGATTAAGAGGGAAATGGCGCAAACTTGCCCTGAGTCTACAAGCGTTGCCTCCAGGTATCGACACCTCACAGAATGAGCTTTTAGATATCAGGAGATGCCTCCTTACCCAGGTGTGTGGGTTCATCAAGGAGAGTTACACTTCATGGGAACCTATCGGACAATGTTATCAGAAGCAACAGCTGATGACATTTCTAATCGAAATGAACAACCTTGGACAGAAGGGTGGAGCAGATGAAGAAATCGAGGTCAATGAATCGATCCGCGAGATCATTGGTGGGTGTGTTCTTAGTCCTAGCGAGATCCGTGGGGGTTAAACACCTGATATCTTCATTCTTCGAAGAGATTAAGCTACCGGAAAGATCGGAGGTGGATGCTTTGAGGAAGGCTTTGGACACTGTTCTAGACGAGATCGATGATTGGAAAAGCCTTTTGAAGGAAGCCTCATGCAAAGGATACAGCTCAGTAGTAGAGACCCTGATTGACCGGGGTTTCAATACCTACGAGGGGGCCCGAAGGCCTTAATAGCAATTTGAATCGAGCAGCGTCACTAGGATATACGTTTATAGTTAGACAATTCCTCTATCAGCATATGCAGCACGAATCAAAGAGCTACAGCAGATTTCAAATTGAGCACCTACCACTCTCACTCCTAAATGCTGCATATAACGGACACGCCTCTACCGTCGATCTTCTCATCCGGGAACTCGCTCTTATAGATCAACCCTACTTTCGGGACGTTACTCTAATTCTTGCCGCTGGCAGGGGCCATCAAGACCTAGTCACTGCACTTCTCGAGCATGGAGCTGATGCCAACCGGAGGTCCATCACGCAGGTCTACACCTATGGGTGGAAGTACTTGGTTAACTGTGGCGGGTCTTTGGAGTTAAAAACACTAGGGTTCGAGAACGATAATGATAGTTTAGCTACAAGTGAGCTGAAATTGAATAAAGCACTTCAGTATGGCCCAGGAGAGGGATATCAGGCAACTATATCCTATCTTATCGCTTAAGACGACTGGAAGACGGTATCAGAAGTGATAATAAGACGAACACCACTCCAGGCAGCTGCAGAAGGGGGGTCACCTGGAGATTTGTAATTGACCTAAAGACAAAAGGTGCCGACATCGGGACCAAGGCGTCAGGACGACATGAAGTTACCGCCCTTCAAGCTGCAGCAGCAGGTGGTCACTTTCGTGTGGTCGAAACATTATTAGATTTGGAGGGCCTACGCCGATGCTGAGCCATTTTGGTTTGGCGGAAGATCGGCACTCCAAGCGTCAGCGGAACAAGGTGACCAAAAGCTGGTTGATCTCCTTCTAGAGCGAGGGGCCGATCTCGAGAAAGACATACCAGCAAGATATTTTGGGCGAACGGTACTGCAGGCGGCGACCGAAAAGGGGCACCAGCGTCTTGTCGAATATCTATTGACCGTAGGGAACGGCATATGTAATGATATGAGCAAAGAGCAACACACACTATGTTTGGGAGGACGAACGGCTTTGCAAATTGCTGCTTCCAATGGTGATTTAGTACTTGTAGACCTCTTTCTGGGGGCAGGGGCCGGTATCGGGGAGAGGCAAGCTAAACTCGCGGGAAGGACTGCATTACAGGCTGCAGCGGGAAATGGACATATCGGTATCGTGGGGAGATTAGTGGGGTACGATAAATCCATGATTGATGCCGGCCCTTCAGAAAGTTATGGACGAACCGCTTTGCAGGCCGCTGCTGAAGGTGGTCATTTTGATGTGGTGGATTTTCTATTGAAAGAGGGAGTAACGAACCCTTTCTCTCCCGGCTCCAAGTATTACGGACGGACCGTACTGCAAGCAGCGGCGGGAGGTGGTAATCTTACGATTCTAAATATGCTACTTGGGCTGCTCGATTTGGGCGACGTCGACCGCGTTGACGACGAGATCATGGGTAATGTGGCATTCCACGGCGGAAGAAATGCGATACAAGCGGGGGCAGAAGGAGGGCATCTAGAGATTGTGAGTCGGTTGTTGAAATTGTTAGAGGGGAGAGGGACCCCTCGACATAGGTCTAAGGGGTCGCCGGCACTGATTGATGGGGTTTCGGCACTAGAGGCTGCAGCCGCTATCGGTCATGAGGACTTGTGTAAGCTCCTGCTCGGCGGCGCTGAGGATTCTGATGATATCGGGGTCCGGTCAGTTGAGCAGTTCATTATACGCGCTTGTGGAGCTGCAGCTGAGGCAAGGCATCTGCACACATATAAACCTCTCGGAAATACGATCTCGCAGTTCCCAATTTCAAGATATCATGCGGGTATATGTACACTCCTGGCGGCGGCGGTTTCGGGCGGTCACATTGAGATTATCGATTTATCTCTCCGAGATATCACTCATCACAATCCGAAACCCCCGAGCGATGTTTTGCGTCGCGCATCAGGGGGGGGGCTGTTTCTTTACGGTCGGTAGACCTGATTTTGTCTAAAGGAGTCAATATCTCCCAATCCGAATTCCGGCAGGAAATATCTCGCGCCATAACTGCCGCTGCGGGAGGCAATCACCTTACTATTGTTGATCGTCTTTTAGAGCTCGAGACCTATGCAAATCTAGATCTTACTACTGCATTACAGACCGCGGCCAAGAGAGGACGTCTATCAATGTTCGAGAGCTTAAGATTGAAGGGGGGGGTTCCTATATCGACCGTCGCGTCGCTATAGAAACCTTGAGGGCGGCAGCGGGTGGCGGCCGTCTTGATATACTAAAATATCTCGTGGAAAAGTTGGAAAAGCGCGCGGGAATGGTGGACGCTGCACTGGAAGCTGCACTTGAAGCTGCACTGGAAGCTGCACTGGAAGCTGCACTGGAAGCTGCACTGGAAGCTGCACTGGAAGCTGCACTGGAAGCTGCACTGGAAGCTGCACTGGAAGCTGCACTGGAAGCTGCACTGGAAGCTGCACTGGGAGCTGCACTGGAAGCTGCACTGGAAGCTGCACTGGAAGCTGCACTGGAAGCTGCAGCCAGAATAGGTCATCTTGCTGCTGTGGATTACCTACTCCAACACGGAGTCGACGTCAATTGTATAACTGATGGCATAGCTATTCATGTCCCCAATACAGCTACAGCTTTACTATTAGCATCGTGGAGCGACTGGTGACTCACGGAGCGCTCGTCAATCCTGAAGCTAGTACGGTCAACGCAACCCCGCCGGCATCTGCTCTCCACGAGGCTGCTAGAAATGGCTATCTCGACATTGTGGATTATCTCTTGAGGAATGGTGCTAAGGTCAATGCGGATGCGCCGCCTTACGACATGGTGCCGCACCCGATCGAGAGGATCATGTTCGTGCTACTACAATCACGATCACCATTATAACTAGCGGCAAGGGCGGGCCACTTTTTAGTTGTGAGACGGCTACTTCAAGCGGGCGCTGCCGTCGACAGATACAAGCATGCTCAGAGACCACTTGTATTTGCGTGCGAGCGCGGGCATTGGCTAGCAGCAAAAGAATTACTTGAGAGTGGGGCGCGCGTGGATGAGGTTGCCCTCGAGGCTGCAAAGAAAGATAGTCTTCGTATGGTGCAATTATTGAAATCGTACAATAGACATCAGGGCTCGACAGATGTGGAAGACAAGGGACCGACAAGGGACCGACAGATGTGGAAGCCAAGGGCTTGACAGATGTGGAAAACAATTAAGAACTCTCTATGTATGGCTCTTTCTATTCTGTTCAAAAGTGTTGCAACCTGAATTGAATGAGGACAACTAACTGATATATATGTTTGTCAGAATATTCGAGGTCAGATACGTATACTACCATCTAAATTATTTACGGTCGAGGTATAGTACGGAGAGTACAGCGGGTATATATGTAAAATGGAAGTTTACCCTGCGAGTTATATATAACGACGGATATTGGGACGATATTGGATAGGGATACATTTTTATATAGGAGATTGACGGTTTTGAAATTCATCTTGGGATGGGGGGCAGGGCGGCAGGGTAGTGGTTGAAATTTTTCGGGCAAGGGAGTTAAGATAGTTTATACCTCAATAAATGGTTTCTGTTAGTCAAGCCGCCCTGTATAATCTCACATATCAGCCTACACCCCACCTCGAATGAAGTACTAGAACTCAAGAGTTTTATTCCTAACATAACTACTTGTACATGTATTTATACAGCCACTCTGCAAAAGTGTTCGTGATTCCGATTTCGGAGTGAGACACATCTTCATATGTAACCGTGGCGGACCATCAAAACCCCCCAATTAAAAGAAGACTTTTCTAGTGACCAATGGCTCCCGAAATCAGTCAAGAAGGAGATTAATGACCTACTTTCTTTTATATATAGTCACGAACTATATTATATATTTTTCGTTGTTTGGAATCTCAACATTAATAACATCAACTTCATGGGTGCGCCACACTGCGCACTGACATTAAAACTAAATCACGAACACTTTTGCAGAGTGGCTGTATATGATTAGATCAGGATAGCTGAGAGTAATCCTCTCTCTCTCCTTGATCAAGTACAAAGCCCCTTTAACAACAATATTAATTATACTACTACTAAGTACAGCGGCAGGTAATAAGTGATGGAACGCCATGAGACACAGTGATACCTGTTTTAGGTAAAACGCCACCAACATACGGTGTTTGCAGGTAAAACTGTACCTCAGGGCGTTCCATCACTTATTACCTACCGCTGTACATTCTATGATCTACATATATCTAACCCCCATTTCTGTACTTATTAGTGTCACTAGAGAATCGAAGGGTAATGTGGGATTCACACATTAAGCGTGGTATAAATTACTAAGTAATTTCTTAAGTTTTCAATAGTTAAGGGTCATGACCACTATTAATACTTGGCTACCGTAAAGATCAATATTCATAATTATCACAAATATAAATAGCCCAGGACGCAACCCCATTCCTATCATTTCTAGGCCTTAAATATAGCCGTGAAAACGCAGCTTACTAGCCTGTGTAGTGTTCTCCATGAGACGAGACGTCTTGAAGTCTTGTCTCGAGACTCTTGCCTCGAACAGCTCGACACCTGATATTTTTGGTCTCGAGACCGGCTTGAAATCTGCCAAGATATACTAGTGACATAGGTGTTAGGGACAAAATGGTATAGCATATCATAGTAAGTTCTCCCCTGTCGATCTTGCACCATGTGGGCCACTCCCGGGCAATACATAAACTTCAACTGACATTTGTTACACGTTCATCGGGTAGATTTTGAGCAACTAAATCAGGAAATAGGTAAGATCTCAATAGAAGACATAAAGACATTACTATACAAAGCTTCTTGCTGCGGTCTTGGCTCACAACTACTCACTCGATTTTCTCAAGCCTGTCTCGGGACGGGCAAGACGAGACGAGACCGGAGCCCTCATTTGACAAGACGAGACAAGACTGGGCCTTAGTCTCGTCTCGAACGGTGTCGTGGAGGACACTAAGCCTGTGCGCTTGCGGGCGGGTGCATAAGAGACGCAGGTACCGGAACGCCACGTGCATATGATCTCCGCCAACCTCACTCATGATCTCACACAGGCAGTGTTCGCTTTTAACTAAGGGCCCGTCTGGGAGCTGGCCTCAGTAGGAAACAACGTTTGAATAATCCTACGTTAGTGGGTGGAATACGGAGAAATTTTGAAACCGTTTTCATGAGTTAACTTTATTTTCTGGACCCCGCAAAATGGGTTGCCAAACACAACCCATTTTCTCAGAACAGAGTTTCCGCCAGAACGGGTTTTTACGCCAGCATAATTCCGTTTTGGACGGCTCCCAAACGGGCCCTAAGTGATAACCAGATATAGTAGTAAACATGATGTGTCGATCGAAGCCCTTTTTCCCTCCAGCTGGTGAACAAGATAGCCGTATGCGCGGGCTATATGGCAACATACAAGCAATACGTAGAACCTTCTTTTCAATGATAAGATCCTCAGGTGGTGATATCAATATTTCCTTTCCGGCCGCCAGGCGAGGCGCTAGCGGCTTAGTTAATTCAAGTTCTAGCGTTATATACTACTCCATTCAGTTACATGTACCCACCCCCAAAAGTATCTTGCATCTCCGATCATTGGCTTACAAGGTCTTGTCGCTCCATGTGGTCTAGCTAAATTCAAGCTTGTGGACTGCGCTAAAGCTGTATGTAGGATAGCATTACTAATAATGGCATACCATTTCCGCTGAAGTTCTTGGCATACCTACATGTTGCTTTCGCATTTCGTTCATATATGGAGTAAACGCAACAACGCCTATCGAAGACCTTCGTAGGTTAACCAACTCAACGCAAACCGGGAATCGAACAATCCACTTAATTTCAAACCCTTTAACCGATAATAACGATACCATGACGAACGTACTGGTGAGCCCGTGGTACTAGCTAGACTGTTGAGACGCACAATCTCGAACGACGATACATTTAAATCTGGTGCTAACGTATTTGACCGTGATACCGCCCATGACCTAGTTTCCGATCATATGTCTCAGCCTGGCTCGGCGCCGAGGAATGAGGATCCTCCGCCCATATAAGGAATGTTGTCGAGGTAGTAAAGTAACAACCATACACGCTCTATATCAATATGGGTCGACTAAAGGGGAGACAGAAGGAAGAAAGGGAGGAACATATCAGATTAGCAATTGAGCGATACCAAACTTCTAAGGACCCATCTATTAGGGAATGCGCCGAGACTTTTAATATACCCTACTCCACTTTAAGGGACCGCCTGCAGGGAAAAAGTTCAAGAAGAGATAGTCACCGCAGACAGCAGCTACTCAGCGAGCATGAGGAAAAATCGGTTGTGGCATGGTGCATCCGTATGGATGATTGGGGATTTCCGCTCAAATTATCCCTAGTCAAAGAGATGGCCGCCTATCTTATTAAAAAGCGGAATAGTGGACACAAGCTAGGTGTTCATTGGTTAGGGCGGTTCCTAGATCGCAATCCAGAAATAGCTTCTCGATTCTCAAGTAGGCTTGAGCGACAGCGTGCATTTGCTGATAATCCTATTTTATTGAAGGACTATTTCCGGCTGGTAAGTTTGTAACCCGAACTACAGTACGAAGCTGACATAAACTAGTTACAAGATGTGATACGGAAATACAATATCCTACCTAAAAACACTTATAACATGGACGAGAAGGGGTTTATGATGGGCATAGCGGCCAAGTGCAAGATCATCTGTCGGCGAGCTAGGAAAAATCCGCGTCTTACACATAATGGGAGTCGCGAGTGGGTGACAGTAATTGAGGCTGTCTCTGGAGCTGGAGAAGCATTACCGCCTATGGTAATAAATCAAGGAATGGCCCATTATAAAGGTTGGTATGCAGGCGTTAAGGGGGACGATATCGCTACTTTTAGTTACTCTCCCAAAGGCTGGACCGATTCTTTTTTAGGAATGGAGTGGTTAATACAGAATTTTGATAAATTCACTGCCGACAAGTAAGTATTTTCTTTCATGAATTGTCTAGATTATTAACGGTTGATAGGGCTGAGGGAGAGTGGAGATTACTGATCATGGATGGTCATGCTTCTCACGTTACTTGGGAATTTTTTGACTACTGTCTGAATCACAAAATCGTGCCTTTTTGTCTCCCGCCACATTCTACACACCTATTACAGCCTCTAGATGTTGGGCTTTTTAGTCCTCTTCAAAAACACTACAGTAATCTGTTAGATGAACAGATGGATAGTGGGGATCTGGGTATAAATAAGGGTATATTTCTTAGGTTAGTTGAAACATTTTTCGTTTACAGAAATCTGTTAATCTAATCATAAATGAAGACTTTTATTCAGGGCCCGCCGCCTTACCTACAGCCATAGTAATATTCTTTCCGCATGGAGAGCTGCGGGAATCTTTCCTTTCAATCCTCGCAGGGTTCTGGATGCGGGTGTGCATTCACAACATAAGCACTGGCAACCAAAAGTGTTCACTGTTCCAGCAACCCCCCGTACCACCAGAATGGCCAGAGCAACTACAAAAGAAGCATTAGCATTGCTAAATAGTCTCGGCGCATCTGCACATGCAAGCCGGCTGAAAGAGTTAATAGGGTCGCTAGACAAAGGTCTTCAAATATCAATCACGGACAAGGAAATCTCTGACCATATCAATAACAAAATCCGGGCCTCTACAGCAAAAAAAACCGCCAATGCAACCTTCACTGACAGAAGAAGACTTACCAAAGCAAGAGTGATCACTACTGAAGAAGTAATTAGGCTGAGAGAGGCAAGGGAGAAGGCAGATGGGGATAAAGCCGCAAAAACAAGTATTAGGGAGGAAAAGAAGAAATTAAAGGAATTGTTATCAAAGGAGGAACTACCTTCCTCTAAGTATAAAGCAAAGTCAAAAAAAAGTGTCTCTATATCTACTACTATTTCTGTAAATAATTTGAAGGATATTGGTAGGGTAGGCGTTGATGACGATGAGGATGAATGGTACCGGGTTGAGGATTTTGAGGAGGAAAGTAAGGGCTCCCCACCACCACCACCTCGCAGAACGGCCAATATGACCCTCAGAGGGGGTAAAAAGTATTAATAGATATTCAATTTATATACAGTATTTAATTCATTGACAATTCATTGATATTCGTTGATATTCATTGACACGCGCGGGCCCGTCGGGTTGCGTTGCGCCGCGATCGGTATCCATGTCATGGGCGGTATCACGGTCAAATACGTTAATGACTTTCTTTGGTTTTTTTTTTTTTTTTTTTTTTTCAATGATACATTAGAGATAGCTGGCAGACGTTAACGCGCCGATATCACTTAACTCTATGCAGGGGAAGTTGTCTGTAAATACCCATGAAACTCCGGAGATGGCATTTTATCGCTTTTACAGGAGGTGGGTCATCCTGCATACTGGATACTAGTAGAACTCCCAATAGGCTGGTACTTAATTTGATAGGCTACCTCACCATGTATGGGACGTTGTTCAGAGCGTTAATATAATAACCACTCGTATAGAAAGTTTAGGTGATTTATAGGGCCAGGGTTAGTTATTGTCTCCCTGGCGGGCCATATCACTACCTGTCCAGCTATAGATGGGTGTTCTTAGCGCGTAGAGATTATATATTAGAGCGCAGAGAGCTTTGCCCTCTTCTCCTATCATTGATATATGATTACATTGTATCTCGCTTCAAGTAAGCCCATATATAGACTAAAAGGTCTTTAGATAGGCCGAGTCATTCTAGGCTTTATATATGTGGACTGGTTGACTCTGGAAAGATACCCCAAACCATTTGTGTTCTTTGTGCCTTTGGTACCCAGGATCTAGAGAGACGAAACCTGTAGATAAAAGATTGCGGGTATAGGCAGGAGCTCTTTCACCCAGGTATAGCTGTGCTAAAAAGCGAATTGGCTCCGCTCTTGCACTTCCTTCATAATCCAAAGCCTAGATGAGGGAAATGTTAGGAAACGTCACTGGTCACCTACCAGCGATGTTAGTAGTGGGTAACTAGTGGGTAGTTAGTAGCATTGCATATATTCTTAGCTGTTCCGTGTCCGACACTTCTAATCTTCACATCACTTCTCTATAGTAAAAGTTAATACTTCACTTTTGACCTTCCTTCAATGCCGAAATCACAAGCAGATAGAGACTCCCGGTAGCCAAGGCAGCGAGCAGACACATAATCCATTCCCCCGCGCCAATTCACACCAACTTCCGGCACGACCCCACAAACACCGGCACCCCCCACGACACAGCCCTGCAACGCACGATCAAGAAAGATTTCCTCCTCCCCCGCTCAATGGCCAAACATCCACTGCCCCAAGCTCCCACTCTGCAGCCGCCATCCACCGAGACAAAACCAAGTGATTTCTCATGTCTGCAAAAACGCACAGTAATATGAGGTGTATCGGATACCACCGGGGTAGACATGCCAAGGTACTGGGTAAACAGTTCAGTATAACCTGGCCCATGATAGTGATGTGAGTTGCTGGGATTTCACTATCGAGTAGCTATCCCATCGACTGTAAGCGCATTCGGGCCAACCGGGCACCAAATCTTTGGCAACGCAACGAGGAGAACGAAATCTTCAAAACAAAAATTGAATCCAAATAATACAGGGCGAGTTTGATATAGTTAAATCTCATAATGATATTTCCTTCCTTCTTCATGTGTGGTTGCCAGTTGCGGAAACATGATAGATACGGTTGAACCACAAAACGGTTTTTACAGTCGATGGGATAGGCACTTCCAGAAGTCGCATACTGGGGGTTAGGTCTAAGCCCACCCAGCCAAGAACGTGGCATAACAGAGATGGCGCAGGGGGTCAGGAACCACTGCAACGGGTCGCCTCGGTAGAATAACGAATAGAAGTGCGCAATTAACCCCCGTCGCCTTAGCGCTGTACAAACCATTCAGGAAGGAGGGGGCAGCAGCGGTACTGTGGTAGACTGGTAGTTATAGTAGTAGTAGTAGTAGTGGTAGTAGTAGTAGTAGCAGTAGTAGTAGTGACCGCACCCAAGCTTGTGGCAGCACGGCCACCACGGTGCTACCTCAGCTAGCGCCAATCAGCGAGGTGTGCCGGGTACCTGGCAGATATGAAAACCGTACGTCCTGTCCTACAGAACATGCCTAGAGTACCGCATTAATTCGTCTCGGCGGCCGGTCACACAGGAGGTTGGAATAAACTGTGGCGGCTTCGAAATCATGTCTTACCTGCAGGTTCTGTGAGCTGGAGGTCCGAGGCTGCATCTCGCCCCTGAGTATAGAAGCTGTGAAAACTTGTAGTTACTTTCAAAGCCCGTAATCAATCCAATGTCTCCAGTCCCAACAGTAATCATTCGTACAGTTGAACCAGCAACGTTCTATGCCGGTGTAAAGAAAAGACCTGGTCCTAGGAAGAGACCAATTTCGGAAAAAGCTCTTGCACCACCACGCCCTATCCAAACTCTCCACCGGTCCTACACTGTCAAGTTTAAACTCCGTGTTCTTTCATACTGGCATCATACTCGGTTACCAATTGGGCCTACACAAACCCGGCAACCTAGTCGATCGGAGGTATCACGGCGATTTAAAATACCACTTTCAAACTTGACAAGATGGAAAGCCAACGAGGTCCTGCTCACCAAGAGCGGAAATGATATGCGTAGTATTCGGAATAGTCAACCTCGAAAATGGGTAGATATGGAAAGAGCTCTCTACACGCGTTTTATAGAACGTCGAAAGATTGGCAAGATTGTACGTCGCAGTTGGTTTAGAAAGAATGCTAAAGAAATTCTGGAAAGAATTAATCACAACATACCCGAGCCCTTCCGATTCTCCAACTCGTGGTTTCAAAATTTCCTGTCCTGGCATAATATCTCGCTTCGGTTTGGTACCAACAAGGCTAGCAAAATACCAACGGACTATCTCGATACCATCGTCAACTGGCTACAGTACACACGCGCTAATTCCGAGGTACGACCTGATAATCAGTTTGGCGCTGGAGATTCTGTAGAGGCAGTTGGGAGATACAGATTGAGAAATATTTGTAATATGGATCAAACACCAATCCCTTTTGAATTTCTTACTGGGCAGACATACAACACCGTTGGGGAGGACACGGTTTGGATTAAATCCTCTAAGCAGAATGGCTTAGATAAACGGCAAGCGACACTACAGTTAACTGTTTTTGCTGATGCGGTACCTCGTGTTCAACCTCTAATTTTTTTCCGGGGCCAGGGGGTTGGTGGTAGTATAATTGCAGAATCACGACATTACCACCCTCGCGTTGTGGTCAAATTCAATCCTACTGCTTATGCCAACTCAGAAAACATTCTCGAATGGATAGATGAACAATTAGTTCCTGCGCTAGAAGGTCAACCTGCTTTACTCGCCCTTAATCTATTTGGGGGGCATAAGACAGAAGACGTCTTGGATACTTTTTTAGCCCATGACATCACTGTATCTGTCATTCCCGGTGGCTGCACAAGCTTAGTTCAACCATTAGATGTGTCTATTAATCGACCCTTTAAAGATGTTTTTAGGGTAGCATTGTCCCTTTCTACGCCCGAGTCTGTTAAACCCTACTAATATTATATTAGGAGGTCCTGGAGGACCGGCTTGAAGAGATGGACAGGAACGATGCAGCTGGAAGAAGACTAAGTAACAGTCTAATTGGTAGAAGGAGAATTGCGACAACATGGGCCGTAGGAGAGGCTTGGGAGCGGTTTGGCACTGAAAAGGCACATGTAATTATCAAGTCATTTCGCACTGTTGGGCTTGCTCTACCTATTGATGGGAGTGCCGACTCTACAGAAATATCTATCAAGGGTTTAGACACAGCGGAGTTGGCTGAAAGATTAAGAAATCTCAGACCAAATCCACTGATAGATGGTCTGCAAGTAATTGGGGAACAGGATGACGAGAACGAAGCTGTGGAGTTGGTAGCGGGGCATCTAAGGCATGCTCTAATCTAATAATTTTTTGTACTTGAACCCTCGGGGAATGGAATATTGCCATACATAGCGGACCTCCCACCCGCAAGTTGAACCTACAGGTGAGACATGATTCGAATGACTCTTCAAGCCGCCACAGTTTATTCCAACCTCCTGTGTGACCGGCCGCCGAGACGAATTAATGCGGTATGTCACGCTCCATCCGGGGAAAGCGCTCCTCCCAGCGGAGACAAATGTGGGGGTTTGTTTCACCCGATAGGGCTGTCCATTATTATTATTATTATTATTATTATACAGTACTAGTCCAGACGCGCCCTCCTCTGAGTGATAAGCCATGCACACAGCCCTGCCAACCGGCGCCGGGGTCGATCCACACAAAAGCAGCCACCTGCAGATACATATACTCTATGTCACCACACGAGGGCGGGAGGGTCACTCATCCAGGGGGAGAGGAGGGAGTGCATGCGCCGGTGAAGCTGCTGGACGGGGGATGTTCCAGGGGTAGGTAGAGCAGGTAGAGTACTGGGTGTGCACGTAAAGTACGGAGACACCCCCATGTCCATTGTTTTCATTGGTTGATTTTTGTATCAACGCCATGGGTGGCAACCGAAGCAGCCAATGGTGCAGGGTGACTTTTACTTGGACTTATGTGGGAAAGAAATACCGAGACGTTCTCATATATCTTCACTTAAAAATGGAATTTAATTGTTAAAAATACAAACAAAAAGCCAGTAGTATCTCCCCTGCCTACCGCATCATCTGCATATCATTTCAGGCCCCCAGACTCTGCTGAGGGTTGTTATTTGATGGGGGTTGCGTTGCAAAAGCTGGCAACGGGCTACCCCAAATACTTGCTTGGCTGCCAAGTGTCACTTTAATTCATATCAGCCCAATCAGAGTTCTTTCCAAACCCTCATTTTTAAAAATTCCCCAAAAAGGGGTTCTCTGTACTTACCCTTAACCCCCGGTACATACAGCCACTCTGCAAAAGTGTTCGTGATTTAGTTTTAATGTCAGTGCGCAGTGTGGCGCACCCGTGGAGTTGATGTTATTAATGTTGAGATTCAAAACAACGAAAAATAGATAATATAGTTCGTGACTGTATATAAAAGAAAGTAGGTCATTAATCACCTTCATCATTGATTTCGGGCGCCATTGGTCACTAGGAAAGTCTTCTATTGGGGGTTTTGATTGTCCGCCACGGTTACATATGAAGAAATGTCTCACTCCGAAATCGGAATCACGAACACTTTTGCAGAGTGGCTGTAAATCAAGGCTGAGAGTGGGGGATATTGCTGGAGGGAGTGATCAGACAGCCAACAAATCGGATCAGGCTGCAGAATGCACCCGGGTCCGCATTCGGCAGCTGTGTTTAATATAGAGTATAACCTAGATATTGCAAGCATATATATATAGATAGATAGAGTACTCTACCTCCACCATGAATGTCCTACAACCTCTTCAGTGCCTGAGTCGGATCCATTCCGCGTATAATACCCCTCCTCCCCACAACCTCTCTTCTCCCTCCCAGTGACGAAAAACAATCCCCCCAAAATGGCAAACTTCACCCTTCAGAACATGACGCCCGGCAACGCCGCCGACTGCTACCTCCCCGGCTGCAACGGCGTCGTCGGCGGCCTGTGTGTCGGCGCGCTGCCCACTGGCGCGAACGTGAACCAGACGCTGTGGTGGTGCTGCACGCCGTATGCCGAGTACGCTTCCCCCCCCCCCCCCCCCCCAACCCCCAATTTCCCCCCCATACTGACTGACGGCAATACAGAACCTGCAGAGGTGGCCAATCCGCCTGCCCCGGCACAAACTGCAGCAACGGCAGCGCCTCCTGGTGCTGCAACGCCGAACTCGAGAGCTGCCCCGGCGAAGGCGGGCTCGAGGGCAGCTGCGTGCCAAAGAACTACACCAACCCCGTCCTCGACGGGCCAGCCTGGGGGCCCGGCGCGAGCTCGGGCGTCAGTGCTAGCGCCAGTGCTAGCTCCACATCGACCGTTCTGAGTAGCAGTATCAGCACCAGCACTCTTCCCGCGAGCACAACAGTGACGGAGAGCAGTGTGCCGACGACGAGTACTAGTGCTGCGGCTGGGAGTGGTGGTGGTGGGGGCGGGGGTATATCGGCGGGGGGAGCGGCGGGGGTGGGCGTGGTGGGCGGAGGGGTGTTTGTGCTGGCGGTGGTGGGCGCCGTGTGGTGGCTCCGCAGGCGGAGGAGGGGCCCGGGCCACGGCGGGGGTGCCATGTATCTGGGGCAGATGGATGCGGGGGACAAGCCGATTGAGGTGGAGGCGCAGGGGCTGCATGAGATGGAGGGCATGGCGGGCCCGAGGAGCGAGATGGAGGGCACGGCGAGCGTGGAGGGTCAGAAGGAGGGGATGAGCAAGGCGGGGAGGTGAGGCAGGCAGAGCTGGAGGGGTGCGGGAGGGGTATAGGACTGTACAGGGGGAGGGTTAATATTGGGAGCACAGTAGTACTGGCCATGGGATATTGTTTTCGTTGGAGTTCTGAGGGTTTCGATTCTTTTATCTTGGATTTTCAAATTGCATATATCTAAATAGTATAATCTTCCTCCTTGTGGTCAGGAAGCATTATGATTGGTTGATTTTCTTCTACCAGGACTGCTATGCAGTGTAGATAGTGGACAAAGAGCCACTCCCGAGTTCGGAAGGGATGCAACATCCACTTTCATAGGTAGGTAGTTTGTACTGACTATTAATATAGATCTATAGATATCATGGATGACTGGCTTCGTAGATAGAATGGACATTACAATATCCACTCAGAGGTCGTACATAGATTGGACAGTATATTTCTCTCTCTTAAGCTTAAGCTTTAGCGAATTTGCGGCCGGAGGCTGCATTCCACTTGTATTACAATATAGGTATGTAGCTAGGATAGTTAATGAAAATGTAGTCAAGTATTCCTTGGGTTTTTTTCTGGCCATCTACAAGTTTTTCACTCGGGATTGTGCGCAAGAATCAACTGCAGTTGAATTCTTGCAAGGCGCCGTCTTTTCCTCCGTGAGGAAACAATGTACATGATCGAATTCAACCAACGGAGCCAACAACATTTACAATCACAATTGGACCAATATATCCGAAAAAATCAAAATTTAGTAATCAAATATTCTCTCGGCATGTTCAAGTCCACCAACTGTTAGAAACCCACAATCCAACTCTGTACGCTTACTAAGATCTTGACCGGCCGTTAATTCATCCCATCTATATTAACTGCCATTACGCACCAAACGCACCAATTAAACCATCCATCGTTATAAGAACCCCCGATCATGCACAAACCACTCCACCCAAGCCCGCATCATCTCTACCAGCACTCTAAAGCACTCCGGCCCATTCGCAAAGCCGCACCTAAACTGTGCCTCTAGCTCTAGTCCAACCTGTCAGCCCCCCCGAGCTAGAGCAGGTATACCCAAGCGCTGAATTCCCTCACCCGCCATGCCCCAGGGACGTTTCGGATGCAGGGACGGGGCTCGCCTGTTTAAGCATGCAGAACATAGGCCTCGGAGCTGATTAGTGAGCAGTGTACATGTGAGACTAGTGGCGGTGCCGATGGTGGCGTGAGGCGTTAGTTCCGGTGAGCCTTGCAATTAGTTTGGGGCTGGGCCTGGAATATTGGACGTTGCTCTGCTTGGGGAGTGTAGATTTGGGACATACATGTGCCCGTTAATTGGTTTCATGGTTCAGATGGATGGGAAAGGGGTATGTGCTTCTAGAGAATGAATCATGCTTCCTTGTCTGTGTTTTGTCGCAGGGGGGGGGTGGACAACTAACGGTCATCGGTATATAGTGTTATATGTGCCCGGGGCTGAACGAGCTGCTAAAGAAGCGGGATTGGATGTCGGGCTCAACGTGCGAGACAGCTGCAGGCGCTGGTGGTTTGGGGGAAATGCTGGTCGTGATTATAAACTCTGCAGGGGTGGATTTGCAGATCATCGAGAATAGTAATATCCTGGCCTGGCGGCTCCGTGCGTGCTGAGTGAGTTTTTCTTCAATTGGCTTGGGGTGTTTATATTATCCGCTGTACTCCGGTGGACGTCCCTGATCGAGGATACGAGTTACACAAGTCAGAGTACCACGGTATCGGAAGGGCATTTTTCGTCTGGTTAAAGCTTAAGAGGCAGCGCACACACTCTATGGCCTTGCCGGGATATTGAAATGCTACCCCCTGCCAAGGAATGCCTGCAGTGGCGCCCCGAAATCTGCAGCCACAAGCAAGGCTGTATTGGTTACATAGTCATTACTCCCTTAAATTCGTCGGATACGTTGACCGATTTCACTTCTTCCGGGGGGGATTGCTTGAGGTCGCATCATCAAGAATATTAGCTTCGAGTCAGATCTCATGAAGTGGTATATACTACATGTAGTAGCTTCCCAGGTTAGGCCTTCACAATGTAGTCGTGGGTCAGGATCTACGACATACGACAGGACATATATCCGCAGAGCAAAACCACTGCAGAGTTGATCAGTCTTTCCGGTAACATACAGAGCCGCTTTGAAACGAATAATACTTGAAGGCTCCGTTGAAGGCCTTCGCCAAGTGCCTAGTCCAGGTGGGCGAACAGGTTAGTCAGCGGCCAAGGATATATGTAGCGAGTGATGATTCATGATCAGGCGGGTGCTAGTGTCTGGGCGCGCGGCCGGGGGGGAGGAGGATGTATGGGAAGGCAGACAGACTCAACACCAATTCCCAGGTGCTCAAGGATGACTATAAGCCTTGAGAGACTTGATCGGTTGATTCAGAACTTATAAGCTTCATGGATATATAGTATTGTGGTCGACGAGACGAGTTGGCTCGAGCTTACATTCTAGCTTCCGCTGCTCGACTTGAAAAATCCGAGCTTTAGGTGTTATTTTTAAACGTATATGGTAAAGATGCGGACAATATACAAGTATCCTTGGTAATTTATTTTACAAAATGTTACAGAAGAAAACCCTAACCCTAGGAGAATATGTTCCGGTAAAGAGATTTGGAATGACTTTGATGACTGATATCTGAGCATGAGCTCGAGTGCACTCGAGTATTTACAGGTACGGTGGAGTCGAGTCGAGCAGCTGTTATCACAAGTAGATTCGAGCCTCCCCTCTTGCTCGTCTCGAGCCGGCTCGCCGACCACACTACCATGGATACGTGCAGCCACTCTGCAAAAGTGTTTGTGATTCCGATTTCGGAGTGAGACACTTGTTCATATGTAACCGTGGCGGACTATCAAAACCCCCCAACAGAAGACTTTCCTAGTGACCAATGGCGCCCGAAATCAATGTTGAAGGTGATTATGACCTACTTTCTCTTATCTACAGTCACGAACTATATTATATATTTTTCGTTGTTTTGAATCTCAACATTAATAACGTCAACTTCACGGGTGCGTCACACTGCGCACTGACATTGAAACTAAATCACGAACACTTTTGCAGAGTGGCTGTATATATATTGACTAATACAAACGGTGTTGGTGCTCCGTTATACGCGTTGATTTCAGGCGTGTGGTATGTTCCGGGAAAATGTATGTCTTCACGACCCGCCTATATACGCACCACCATGAACACTGGTGCTAAGATCTAGCTCTGTCCGTATCCGGGAATCTATCACGAGTCTCTACACATAACAATTCGCTGCCTGGATAGTCAAAAGCCGCTTGGGCCATCGATGCAGGCTGAACCGGTCTGCGACGAGTGGAGATAGCCACAACTGAGCTTCCGACATCTGATTCCAGTCAAATACATATCATCAATGCCCTGAAAGAAGTGAAGGTTTATGCAGGGGAGGGGGTAAGAGCTTATATCGCTCTCTGAATATTGGCTACTCGCGATGGGGATCAACAGCCCTAACCCATATTAACATATCATCAATATTCCGACCAATAACCAGAGTTGAGGCTGTATGGTTCATGCACTCCTTGCGAGCGAGGAGAAATCGAGAGTTTCGCAGGTGATGCGGGTTTCCGACTGCCAGCTAGCTAGGAGGCATTTGCTAGAAATCAATTCATGCAGGGCCCTCGCTCAGGGCATAAGACTGTCCCCGGGCAGGAAGATACGGTCAGAGACTGAGGTGTTGTGCCGAGTACATATATATATATACAGTGTAAATTGGTTTGTACATCTCCTATCGGCTCGTTCTACAAAGGGTGACCGGTCAAGGTTGCCGGCTGTTTGATCACCCGTACGTACCTGCTGAAAAAGCAAGAAGCACGTATATATACACTACTCGTCTATTCATAGCGTTTCCGAACACGACCGATATTGCATACCATACAAAAAGGAGGGCTTGATGCTTTTTCATATGGTATGCAATAGCACCAGTCGTGTTCGGAAATGTCATGGAATTAGTAGTACGGGATCGGATTTAGAACGTGCTTCGACGTACAGGCTCCGTCAACACTGCTATATCCCCCTGGAGGTGAAATGAAACTTTTATAGTACAACTCCACATCAGCATGTATATAAAGTATCGGGGTTAGGCTGTCTTCAACGGCGGGGATTGGTGAGAGCCTGGATGGTGTGAGAGAGGAGTACGTATGGGAGCATTAGGTAAGGCCTTAAGGGGAAACTTGGTACTTGCGTTAGGCTAGTCCCTAAAGATGGTAGCTAGTTGGATAAGGTGGTCACAACATGTAGGTGACCACACATTGTAATTGTCATTTATAAAGGAAGAAAGATTTGCCAATCAACCGGCCGTCTTCCAACCATCTCAAATACAGATAACCCCAGTAACCTCCACAGGGTATGCATACGAGTTCCAATCTACCAAGTCCAAAGGGAAATACAAATGAAACACCGAAAGCTAATGGCATGGAGCAAGTGAATGACGACTTTCAAGCACGTACAGCTTGAAACAACGAGGCTAGTGTGACGAGAAAGCTAATTCTGAGGAAGAAATCAAAGACAGAAATAGCATAGGGAGCCATCTGTCCTGTCACAGTGGTTGGGAACTTGACTCGCGACAAAGCAAAAGGAGAAGAGCAGGACCTATCTAGGAGATGAGGGAGTTCCAGGTATCCCTGTATTCTACAAACGCCGCCCAGATCCGTTTTGTTTGAATCACTCCTGCTTCGGTCCAAAGGAGACCGTCAAGAGTGGGAGAGGCTCCCGCCCAAAACATAGACGAGTCTTCATCCCTGAGATGAGAAAGAAGCGTGCACTGTTTCAGAATGTGATCAACACTCTGCTGAGAATGCCCGCAGGGACATCTCTTGTATACTCTCTCGCCGTTTTCATCGAGATAGCATCGAAGCCTGTGGTCGATTGACCCATTTCTTAGATTCTCGATCAGGTTCATTTCGAGAGTCGAGAGACTGGTACCGTCCTTTGGCGATGGAGGTTCGAGATCAGTGGCGGAGGGAGCATTGAGCTTCAAACATGGTTAGCACGTGACGGGTCGGGCTGGCGAGCGGCATATATGCGCCGTTGTGAGAATTGTGGGCTATGTAATAAGGTGTGGGCAAACTTACACAATCTGTTCCTATCTTCTCGCAGCGCCTATATCGTGATGTGGTCATAATCTCGGAAATGAGATCGACTTCATCGATAAACGTCTCCATTTCATTTCGAAGGGCAGAATCGTTCACCCCTACAGTCATAATATTGCCAAGCTCTGCATAGGCTTTTCCAAAGGCCTGGCCCCTAGCTGAAACGATGAAAACACGCTGCGGTGGTAGTCCGCTAAGTCTCAGCTGATTATCTACGCTCGCATGTGTCTGGGCTATGAATTTAATTCGGCATTGTTGATACAGTACTCTCTGAGGTTTAGGCACCCCGTAGTGGCCGTCTTGAAAATCTGCCATCATATTCGAAATATGCTGATCGGCCTTGGAGCGTACGAGGATGGAGGGGATTTTGAAGCGTTTGCAATGCTTTAGTATCTGAATATCCGTCTCGGTAAAGCGATCACCAATTACGACAATGATGAGGTCAAAGATAAACAGACACTGTTGGTTGAAATATTGCCAGCCAGGGATTTCGAGTGTCCCAGCACCTGGAATATCATACCAGACATTGCTTCTGCGATGTGGCTCCTTCCCTGGTTCTGGATAGCGGTTGATCTTTGTCGTTGTCTCCACAGCACCGGTAGCTGCCAGCTTCTCCCCCAAGAAAACGTTGATTAACGATGATTTGCCAACGCCGGATATCCCTGCGACAGCGAAGGCATATAGATCCGACCTAAACCGAAGCATCCGCTCTGCCTTCAGCTTTTCCTCCAGGGTCGGCCATACTTCCGGGAAAACCCCGTCCTCGTCCACCTTTTTGCGTTCTTCCTGCAAGTTGAGCCTGCCACCCTCGAGCCTGCTTCTGTCTTCAGGAATCTTCTCTCTCTCGCCATTGACCCTCTCTGCTCTCAGAGAGTCCTCCCTCGCCTTCATGATGTTTATCATCTTTTCCATCTCGAGACACCTTGCTTCCAATTTACGGACCCGATCATCCTGACCTCCTTCGTGCACATGTTTATGATTATGATCATGACTATGGTGGACATTGAGGCTGACCGCATGCATGGTGTCATTTTCGCGAGTAGGAGAGGCGCTGAACCCGGCAAGGAATTGGCCGATTTCTATAAGCTTGCGGCCAAAGTTTGCTATATTCTTCCTTGCGGTGGTTATAGCTTCAAACATCTTCCAATATATATATGCCTTTGTCAATTGTTGGCAGTACTTGATTCGGTGATCCCTCTTGAATTGGACCTGGCTATCAATGGAACTTACAGTTTGTGACTGACGGGCTTCTGGAAACAGGAGAGGTATTCGGAGTATCGAGTATATATATGTAGTCAGCCAAGGTGGACCTGAGGTTGTACGTCGTTCCAAAGATGTGAGAGTGGGTTCCAGAAGATAAGAATTAAGGCAATCACCCCGCGAGCTAGTTAGCTCGCTTATATTCACTTTGAGTGATTGGTTCAATCCGACAGTAATTATATAATCAATCAGCCCCACTCGATGCAGCAACTTTCAAATCAAGCTTCCTCATGTGCCTTTATTGATGATGACTCCCGCAAAGTGTATAAATACGTAGCCAGAATCGCACATGTAGAGTATGTGGACGCGACTGATATTGCATGCCATACAAAAATGCGCCAAGCTCATGATTTTAGTAGTATCCAATAGTGACCCAGTTTAAAAACGCCAAGTAGAGGATCTGCTTGGCGATTGTATACTATATATATGCACTTTTTAGAGATGCCTTGGAGGACATGTGAATAGTCCAAGTGATATGTTGTGAGTCGGCTAGTTCCGATATGACCAGAATCATGGTCAGCAACATGATCACCGCCGGAAACTCGCCCCTGAGAACGTGGGAGCAGCTCGTGCGGATGAAGTGTTAATGGGAACCCGCAATGGCAAAAACAAGCCGTTAGACCTACGGCTGGGGTATATCTGTGTTGTTTCAAGGCTGCGCTCGCGCGGTAAACGGGCCGGGGAATTAACTCGCTCGACAGGGAACGGGGCATCAGAATTATGAGGACTATCATGCACATAATTAACCAGTTAACACTATCGATCAAAGTAGTCCCACCGAACAACAACCCTAACCCTACTCAATAGGGATGGTAGGAAGTGGTGACATGTGCTGCGTCCGCTGTCGTGTAGGTACACTATTTCTCCATACACAAAGCCAGAAGCCCTGGTAATTGTAGATATGTACGTATGGAGGAGTCTACCATCTATGGGTTTTAAGAAAGATTCTGTCGAGGATAGAGTTTGAAATTCACACTAGTCCCATCATCGGGTAGCACTCGGTGCTTCTAGGCACCCCTGTCGGGAGAGTTTTTTTTCTATTTTGTTTAATTCATTAATCGTATGCAGCTTGAAGGCTATGACGATATCGCACTACCCCGGAACTACCCTACATACATCCACCGCCACTTACAAATAAAACAAACTAAGAAAAGTAACTAATACTAAGAAAATTTTTTGGCTCTGTCTCTCCTTCCATCTTCCCTCCTGAACCCAAATATAAAACCTTCGTATCCTGAGTAGTCATCTAGATATGTATACAAATACCTTCCAACTTTGATAGTGCCTATTCTATCACTTATTGTTCCATTGACCAGTATTGTACCTGTTTCAGGTTTATCACAAAAATTAAATGCCTGTGTCTCGCTGTGCTTAAACTATACCCACCCCGTAAGTGTGTACTGTTCACTGTTTTTGCTATTCTATTCGTTGAGTGTCTCTTGTATTTCTGCTACCCTATAGTTCCTCTCGCAGAGGCCGACGATATGTATCTTTTTAGGTAATGATACAGAAGCTGGGGAAGAGTGGACCGGACTTACAGTACTGATCAGGGAAGTTTGGTCTGGTTGTTCTGTCTCTGTACTTTGCCCCGGAGGGGAAATAGAGGCAGGGTCATCGCTTGTAGCTGATAAATTGAGATTCATTGCTGGTGTTGGGGTAGGTATTGCTGATAGTGATAATTGTTGCTGTAGTGGAGGGGTATTTTCCATCTCTATGGCTTCTTCAGGGCCATGATCGCTATACCTGCTATGGTTGCTTCTGTTGTCTTCGGTATCAGAGGAGGAGGAGGAGGAGGAGGAGGAGGAATAATACTCGCTTTCAGCTTGGTGTGTTGGTCTCGTTCTTCTGGTATCCTCAGCGGAGGATACTGTTGTAGTCTCGATACAAGCTCATGAACTTGCCACGTAAGTTCATGGTTTTTCTTCGCTAAACTGCTGACGTTCCTTCGTAACCTAATAATTTCCTCAGACTGCTGTAGAAGCAAGTCTGCTCTGACAGCCATGAGTTTCTGGATTGTCATGGTTGAAGCCAAAGAGATAATAAAATAGTAATCTCTGATTGGAGGAAAACTATAAGAGAGGTATTCTTACGGTGTTGTGAGAGATACATGGTAATCGCTCCCCTCTCGGGAGAGTGTCTGGTATAATCTAATCTGGATATATAATCAGGGTTAGTATTATATTACAAAATTAGTTCTACTTGGGGCTATAACCACACTCAGATCTGGAAACTTAGTTATCGTTTCGGAGAAGGAGTGAAACCATCAGTTATTGGATCTTATGAGAAAATATCGTTGGGGCTGAGCTATATTCCATTGTATCGATATTTAAGCTACAGCTCAATAATATGGGCACTAGAAGTTTCATTGAATACCTACTAATCTGTATGCAAGCTTAGTCATGCCTGAGGTTCCTAATCAATTATACATGTGTATCTTTAGGTTTTCTCTATATTAAAGTGATACATGCATTTATAACTAGAGCAGCTTGAAAATGACTAAGAAATGGTTTGAAGACATTATTTTGCTGTACCGTAAACACATGATTATTCTCCATCAAATTCCAGGGAGAGCATGAAAAAATAATTCTGCTTTTAGATTGTTAGAAGGTTCATATACAGAAACCATTTTGAAAATGGATAAAAACTACTTATTAGGAATGTATTCTAATAAATGTACCCACAAATTGCACAGGTATTATACTCAATATTTCAATAAATAGGGAGTAGTATACTAACCATGTCCGTAGATATATTTGAACCCTATGATTTGGGTCTGCAACTTGTTTTCAAACAGAGTATTAGAGGCGAAGCCAATAAATATTTTATAGCCAACGTGCAACAACAAATCTAAGATCAAGTTACTCCCATTGATGTCAACCTTTCAAAACAATTGAAAGAACTAATGAATCAGACACCTAGTGATGGGTACGAGACAATATGTATTGAGATTTTATTTTGAGATCAAGTGTGAGATGAGATGGGATCAGGACTCCCACAAGATGAAACATGATGAGACGAAGTCAAATCTCATCTCGTCTTTAACTTTGTATAGTAAAAGTGCCAGACGTCTCGAGACTTTGTCGTGAGACTAGATACAATACAAGATGAGACTAGGACCTCCCTGAGATGAGATAAGACGAGATTAAGCCAGTTCTTGTCTCATCTTATCTTGTGCCTATCACGACAGATACCCGATTGGTTGATTGCAGCCGTGGACTGCCATAACAGTAATTCATATTTCGGTAAAAGGGCATGGTCTAATTGTATTACCAGCAGCTAGAACCTGTCCTACAGATGCAATGCCTCAAGTGAAGCCAGACATGTATTATTTGACAAACCTGAGTATTATGTATCCTAGCAAATCTCATATACTTTTAAAATATCTAATTAGTTTTATCTAGATACCGAAAAAGGTTAGTAGATCCGGATTGTAACGGAGCCATTTCAACTGTCTGGTGTATGAGTACATACAGGGCCCGGTGGTATTGTTTCCGGACCGAAGAAAGGCTTTACCAGAACTTAGTAAGGAAGTTAGGAGCAGGGAATAGAGGCCTTTGGAATATAAGTACTCAGGCTCATTCTTGCCCTTCAGTCCTATTCTCTCCAGTCTTCATCAGAAAGAAATATCAAGTTCTTATCGGTAGCAGAGCCCTTAAAGATTATTGAGTTCTAGCGATAGTATCTTTGAATAATCTGCAACCTGATTGTCTATCTTGCACAGCCGTCTCTATTCTATCTTATTCTATTATCTCTTAGAAGAGACCCCCGTTACAGATAATCTTTAAGGTTTAAGTCACCTTCAGATTATTCTTCCTCTATACAAAATGTACGCTCTCCCAGCTCCAGATGCACCCCTTCAGATTGAATGGCAGCCGGTGCCTCTCCAACTTGATGCCACCGGGCAGACACAGCTTGTTAAGAAGCCCAGGACCGCTCTACAGACCTACATTCCCGGTTGTGAGCCTGCCTGGTAGGATACCGACGAGGTTTCCCTCCAACAGTCCATTGAAAAAGACCTATACTGAAGGCAGGACTGTCATAGACGGTCAAAGGAAAGGATGAAGGCGCCCAAGGGTCTTTTATGTTTGATACCGGTTGTACAGGAGCTATACTCAACCAGAGTTTTATCAGAAAACATGGAATTCCCTTAGTGCGGCGGGATTAACCTCTGACAATGTTTGATGCTCAAGGAGATGTCATGATGGGAGGAGGCGAGTATTATACTCACCCGGTCCGCATGACTATGGGAGATCATAAGGAGACACTCCGATGGGAAGTGGCTACTTTGGAAGAAGGAATGACCGGTTACCTGCCAATTAGTTGGGCTAGGAAGTATAACCCAGATATCAATTGGGAACTCAACACCATGAGCTGGAGGAGTGACTACTGCATGCAGAATTGTCTCCCAGCGGCCACCAAGATTGAACTGATCTCTCCATATCAGATGATGGAAGAAGAAGAGACAGCCTATCAATTGGTTGGTTCAGTATGGCATGACGAGAATGGAGGTGATATTGCTGAGAAAATACACCACCTATACCGGGAATGGGCTGATGTATTCAGTCAAGAAAAGATTGAGGAAATGCCGCCGCATTCCCATAATGATTTGAAGATCAAACTCTTGCCTGGCACCGCTCCCCCATTTGGCCCGCTATACCCATGTTCCGCTCCAGAATTGAAGGCCCTTCGCGAGTACCTGGACAAAGAATTGTCTTCAGGAAAGATCTCTAGATCTAATAGCCCTGCTGCGGTACCCATACTGTTCATTCCTAAGAAGGATGGGACATTGCGGATTTGTGTGGATTATAGGGGATTGAACAAGGTCACTGTGAAAGACAAGTACCCGCTGCCTATCATGAGTGAGCTCAGGGACAGGTTGTTCAAGGCCAAGATCTTCACAAAGATAGACCTGAAGAACGGCTTCAATTTGATCAGGATAGCCGAAGGTGATGAGTGGAAAACCGCTTTCAGAACCCGCTATGGACTGTATCAGTATAATGTGATGCCGTTTGGCCTATGCAATGCTCCCTCCGCCTTCCAGGTAATGATCAATGATGTGCTAAAGGAACTACTGGATGAAGGAGTGGTTGTCTATATTGATGACATCCTCATCTACTCGGAAACTGAGAAAGAGCATGAGCTACTGGTCAAGAAGGTTTTACAGAAGCTTAGGTAAGCTAAGCTCTGTGCCTCGATCAGTAAGACATCCTTCCATGTCCGAGAAGTAGAGTACCTAGGCTATCACATTTCGGAAAAGAGAATATCTATGTCAGAACACAAGGTGGAGGCAGTTAAGGAATGGCCGGTCCCTGAGAATATCAAGGCAGTACAGGCATTCCTCGGATTTGCAAACTTCTGTCGCCGCTTCATTGAAGGCTTTAGCAAAGTTTGCAAACCATTAACTTATCTCTTGCAGAAAGACAAGAAATGGTATTGGACGTCAGTACATGAGCAAGCTTTTGAAGAACTCAAGAGGCTGTTCACAAGCGCTCCAATCCTTCTTCATTTTGACACTAGTAGAAGAACGGTGGTTGAAACGGATGCCAGTGATTTCGCCAAAGGGGCAGTGCTCTCTCAGTATGGGGATGATGGAAAGCTACACCCGGTGGGTTTCTATTCTAAGAAGTTCTCCCCTGCTGAGATCAACTATGACATTCATGATAAGGAAATGGGAGCTATTGTAGCCTCTTTCCGGGAATGGGAACACATGCTCAAATCTTGCGAGCAGGAGATCACGGTTTTTACAGATCACAAGAACTTGCAGTACTTTAATTCTACCAAGGTTCTTACTAGGCAGCAAGCTAGATGGTCTGAGGACCTCGTAGGCTACAATTTTAAAGTTGTCTACAGACCGGGAGAAAAGAATAGCAAGACTAATGTGCTATCTAGGCGTTGGGATCACCGCCTTGGAGAGGGAGGTGAAACTCTGCAGCTGGAGCCAAAGATCTTTTTTAGGCCAGGCCAATTGGGTTTGGATCCTGCAAAGCTAGCGGCTGTCAGGGTGAATCAATTGCAGAATACATTCTTAGAGCGCCTATATACGGCTGCTAAAGAGGATAGTTTCTGGCAGGAACTGCACCGCTCCCTGGTTGAAAGGGAACCAAATTTGGACCAGAACTTGTCGGTCAAGAACAGTCTCATCTTCTACAAGAATAGATGGTATATGTAACGGCAACTATAGATTTCGGTTAGGTGATAAGTTGGAATGGGAATAGGATGTATTGTGCAGTGGGATTAGGATTTGTAATTGGGATTTCTGTTATGTTCTTTTAGTTTCTGTTACGCGGAAGTATTAGTCATCATCGGACTATGGTTGGATATATAAGGGGGCGTTGTTTTGTGCTTTTGTTTGTTTTCTCTCTTTCCTTCTTTCTTTACGCAACCTCTGTATTCTCCTTGCTCGCTAAGGCTCGCAAAACTTCCTGATATCAAACCTCGCTTCAAAAACACTTTATTTTTTATTCCCTTCGGTTTACCCTGGTATACCATACCAGGCTGAGCCACTTCGTCCCCGATCGTACGGTCGCGTTTTGTTTTGTTGTTCCAAGCGAAAGAAACCTACGAAAACTGGCTTCTAGCGAAGAATTCTCCAGCCTTGACCTCCCGAAAGGAAGGAAAAGAAACCTATCCGAAACATCACTCTACGCCGCCAGAAGAACCGGACACTCAGTTATGTCGCAGCAAGCTTCGCTCCAGTCCTTTTTCACCCAGTCTTCCCAACAAGGGACAGCCCCCTCGCAGAACAGGAACACCCACGGTCCCGACCCAACCCCATCCGGGGCTCAGGAACAGGAATTTTCCTCGACCTTTGCAACAGAATCCGACTACAATGACCCCTACCAACCGAGAGTGGACTACTTCTACCCGAGCATTGTCCCCCAGGACACTCACACCTAGACGGATCTGAACTATATCACCTGGGCCATCAGACATGCCACCAGCCGGATCTGCCCGCCCTCCGATAGGATTGAAATCCTCGAAGAGCAAACAACTACACTCCGGAGAACAGTAGATACACTGAAACACCAAATCGAGGCGCAGACAAACATGATCACCAGTATGCATTCGGCGATCCACGCGCTCCTCAATAAACAACCACAACCGCAGCAACCGCAGCAACCGCAGCAACTGCAACAACAGCAACAACAGCAACAACAGCGAAAACCACAACAACCGCAAGGACAGAGAATGCCCCCTCCAGCGGTCCCACAAACAGTTCCCCAAGCAGCGCCACAGGCAGCTCCTCAGGCCCCCCTACCCGCACCCCTCCAACAAGCCCTACCTCGCGGATGGAAGGCAGGCACCTGGGCCGCCGTGGCCTCGGCACCCGGTCCCGCCCAAGGAAATTTCCAGGTTGTCGAGAAAAGAAAGAAGCCCGCAAAGCCAAAAGCGGACCCCCTCTTCAAACCAGAGTACATAAAAATAAACAGGGAGATCATTGTTGAAACCACCGCCCCATCCGACGTCAACCCCTCTGAGATCAGGACAATGGTCAATGCAAGAATTCAGGACGAATCCTGCCACTTCATTTCAGCAAGGAGATGTAACGGGGGTCTCTTCTAAGAGAAATAGAATAAGATAGAATAGAGACGGCCGTGCAAGATAGACAATCAGGTTGCAGATTATTCAAAGATACTATCGCTAGAACTCAATAATCTTTAAGGGCTCTGCTACCGATAAGAACTTGGTTTTTTCTTCCTGATTAAGACTCGGGAGAATAGGACTGAAGGGCGGGAATGAACCTGAGTACTTATACTCCGAAGGCCTCTGTTCTCTGCTCCTAACTCCTTTACTAAGTTCCGGTGGGCCTTCCCTCAGTACCGGAAACAATACCACCGCTACCCCGCTTTTCTCTAAGCGTCAGCAGGTGTTTCCGATACCCAAGGCAACCACCCTTAGTCAAAGCCTTTGTAACACCTGCAGCCTTGGTTGCCACACAACTGAGGACCTGCATGAATGAGCTGCCGCTCAGGTGTAAGCTTAATCATTACTGTAGAGCTTTCGCTTATTGTAGACTTTCCTAGCATAGTCCCTGCCCTTCGGCGGACTTACAATGCACCGAGGATACAGAGGATCACCGGTCAATCAGAGCTTCACTCTGGCCGGTCTTCTAGTCACTGGCGAGGCATAGACTCGTCAGTCGTTGCTCCCATGAATAGATCCTCTTCCTAGCGCCCGGAATGTAGTTACTCTAACAGCTGGTAGCTAACCACACTGCCGGTACTTGCATATCACCGTGCAACTGGCTTCTAACAATAACTCTCAGCATGTAACCGGGCCCTGTGTGTACTCATACACCAGACAGTTGAAATGGCTCCGTTACACCACTCCCCTCTTCCAGGATCTTGGTCTCCGAGATCTATAACCATTCTATTACCATTCTATATGACAAGAAACTCCGTGATATGCAAGGAAATGAAAACCCAAAGGAAATAATCTACACCCCAACAATCCGCTTGTCCTTGGGTTTCTTAGGATACCTCATATGGAAATCCCGAAGGGCTTCTTCAGCACTCTTCTTGAGATGCTCCCAAGGTTCCCATGTAGCATCCTCGTTCTCATACCCTTCCCACAGCACTAGATATTCCACTCGTCTTCTCTTCTTATTGACCCGGCTGTCAGCTACCTCTCGGACAACCCAGTTCTGTTCTCCCTCAACCTCTTCGGGTTCCGGTGGGGGAACTCTTCTCTCAGGATCTACCGGTGCTCTGTAGGGTTCTAGGAGAGAGACATGAAAAACCGGGTGGATTCCCATCTGGGGGGGAAGAGAGAGCTTGTAGGCACGGGTACCAATAGCTTCTAAGACCTTAAAGGGTCCCATCTTCTTCTGATCCAATTTTCCCAAAGGCCGCTTTGTTTGCACATTGCGCCGGTCCAACATAACTTCATCTCCGGGCTTGATTTCAGGTGGTGCCAGGGCATGAGCATCATACCACCGGGCCATCCTTAATCTAGCTTTACCCAAGCTGGCGTTCATAGCCTGCCAGATAGATTCCCATTGAGAAATCATGACCTCACTTGCTGGATTGTTCCATTCTACTCCTTCCTTTGGGGCCGGCCAGTTGGTCCTGGGTTCATATCCATAGTTGGCATAAAAGGCCGATACTTTGGTAGACTCAGAGACCGCCGAGTTATAAGCATACTCTGCCAAAGGCAAGAGTTCTGCCCAGTCATCCTGTTGATATGAACAATAACTCCGCAAGTAATGTTCCAGGGTCTGATTAACTCTTTCTGTTTGACCGTCCGTCTGGGGGTGGAAAGATGTGGACATCTTCAGCTTCACATTGAGGAGGCTCATGAGAGATTGCCAAAAGTGAGAAATGAACCTGCTATCTCTGTCCGAGACTATGTCATCAGGCAAACCATGGAGTCTCCAAACTTCCTTCAAGAACAATTTAGCCAAATCTTCCGTTTTATTGAGGGTAGGAAGAGGGATGTAGTGTGCCATCTTCGAAAAGCGGTCCACTATTACCCAGATCTTTGTAAACCCACTAGATTCCGGTAGTCCCACAATGAAGTCCATAGAGATGGAAGTCCATGGCCGATAGGGTATCTCCAACGGTTGGAGCATACCAAACTTCTTGTGTCTTGAGGTCTTATTCCTCTGGCAGCTGTCACAGCTCCGGACATATTCCTCAACATCCTTATCCATGTTGGGCCAAAAGAAGTTATTTTTCACCCGCTCTAGTGTCTTAAATTGGCCAAAATGACCAGCCACCTTAGAGTCATGGGTATCGGACAGTATTTCCATCTGAAGCTTCTTGTCCTTGGGTATGTACCATCTATTCTTGTAGAAGATGAGACCGTTCTTGACCGACAAGTTCTGGTCCAAATTTGGTTTCCTTTCAACCAGGGAGCGGTGCAATTCCTGCCAGAAACTATCCTCTTTAGCAGCCGTGTATAGGCGCTCTAAGAATGTATTCTGCAATTGATTCACCCTGACAGCCGCTAGCTTTGCAGGATCCAAAACCAATTGACCTGGCCTAAAAAAGATCTGTGGCTCCGGCTGCAGAGTTTCACCTCCCTCTCCAAGGCGGTGATCCCAGCGCCTAGATAGCACATCAGTCTTGCCATTCTTTTCTCCCGGTCTGTAGACAACTTTAAAATTGTAGCCTGCGAGGTCCTCAGACCATCTAGCTTGCCGCCTAGTGAGAACCTTAGTAGAATTAAAGTACTCCAAGTTTTTGTGGTCTGTAAAAACCGTGATCTCTTGCTCACAAGATTTGAGCATGTGTTCCCATTCCCGGAAAGAGGCTACAATAGCTCCCATTTCCTTATCATGAATATCATAGTTGATCTCAGCAGGGGAGAACTTCTTAGAATAGAATGCCACCGGATGTAGCTTCCCATCATCCCCATACTGAGAGAGCACCGCTCCCTTGGCAAAATCACTGGCATCTGTCTCGACCACCGTTCTCCTACTAGGGTCAAAATGAAGGAGGATTGGAGCGCTTGTGAACAGCCTCTTGAGTTCTTCAAAGGCCTGCTCATGCGCTGCTGTCCAATACCATTTCTTGTCTTTTTGCAGGAGGTCAGTTAGTGGTTTGCAAACCTTACTGAAGCCTTCAATAAAGCGGCGATAGAAGTTTGCAAATCCGAGGAATGCCTGTACTGCCTTGATATTCTCAGGGACCGGCCATTCCTTAACTGCCTCCACCTTGTCTTCTGACATAGATACTCCTTGTTCCGAGATATGATAGCCTAGGTATTCTACTTCTCGGACATGGAAGGATGTCTCATTGATCGAGGCACAGAGCTTAGCTTCCCTAAGCTTCTGTAGTACCTTCTTGACCAATAGCTCATGCTCTTTCTCCGTTTCTGAGTAGATGAGGATGTCATCAATATAGACAACCACTCCTTCATCCAGTAGTTCTTTTAGCACATCATTGATCATTGCCTGGAAAGCGGAGGGAGCATTGCATAGGCCAAATGGCATCACATTGTACTGATACAGTCCATAGCGGGTTCTGAAAGCGGTTTTCCACTCATCACCTTCGGCTATCCTGATCAAATTGAAGCCATTCTTCAGGTCTATCTTTGTGAAGATCTTGGCCTTGAACAACCTGTCTCTGAGCTCACTCATGATAGGCAGCGGGTACTTGTCCTTGACAGTGACCTTGTTCAAACCTCTATAATCCACACAAATCCGCAAAGTCCCGTCCTTCTTAGGAATGAACAGTATGGGTGCCGCAGCAGGGCTATTCGATCTAGAGATCTTTCCTGAAGACAACTCTTTGTCCAGGTACTCTCGGAGGGCCTTCAACTCTGGAGCGGAGCATGGGTATAGCGGGCCAAATGGGGGAGCGGTCCCAGGCAAGAGTTTGATCTTTAGATCATTATGGGAATGCGGCGGCATTTCCTCAATCTTCTCTTGACTGAACACATCAGCCCAATCCCGGTATAGGTGGTGTATTTTCTCAGCAATATCACCTCCGTCCTCATCATGCCATACTGAACCAACCAATTGATAGATTGTCTCTTCTTCTTCCAACATTTGGTATGGAGAGATCAGTTCAATCTTGGTGGCCGCTGGGAGACAATTCTGCTTGCAGTAGTCACTCCTCCAGCTCATGGTGTTGAGTTCCCAGTTGATGTCCGGGTTATGCTTCCTAGCCCAACTAATTGGCAGGTAACCGGTCATTCCTTCTTCCAGTGTAGCCACCTCCCATCGGAGTGTCTCTTTATGATCTCCCATAGTCATGCGGACCGGGTGAGTGTAATACTCGCCTCCTCCCATCATGACATCTCCTTGAGCATCAAACATTGTCAGAGGTTGATCCCGCCGCACTAAGGGAATTCCATGTTTCCTGACAAAACTCTGGTTGAGGATAGCTCCTGTACAACCGGTGTCAAACAGAAAAGACCCTTGGGCGCCTTCATCCTTTCCTTTGACCGTCCATGACAGTCCTGCCTTTAGTATAGGTCTTTTTCCATGTACTGGTAAGGAGGGAAGCCTCTGTTCCAACCTTCTTTGCTTAACAGCGGGTTCTGAACTTGTTTCTCTTTGTCTTTTCAACATAGCTAATAGCTTCGGGCACTACTAAGATCAAAGATCCTTTGGTTCTATTCCCAAGCAATAATATAGCAGGTATGATGTGTAGTAGTCTTAGTAGTGGTTTTCGGGAGTGTCTTCGTAGCAAATGTAACTTTGGTAGAACACTGACAGACCAGCTGTTTCGGGTCTTAAACCCATCCTCAGAGTGCTTGCAGCAATCAAATAGGCAGAAACACAATCATAATTTATTCAAGAGAAACATAGAAACCGAAAACCCATATAAAAAGAAAACTAGTAAACATAGACTCAAACAGACACTTTTCTACCAGAGGATTTCATTGTCCGAGTCTTGCTCAGGCTGGAAAACAAAATCTTCTGTAACCTCCGGGAGTACAACAAGTGGATCTTCTGCTACTACAGCAGCCACTTTAGCCTTCTTCTGAGAGTTGGAATTACCCTTCCCTCTTTTCCGCTTTTGTACTCTCACTGCTGCCACTCGGACAACAGTAGGTTCCTTTGACCAACAATCGGTCCATTTGTGTCTGGACTTGCCGCACTATTGCACAAG